CTGGCATTGGAAGTAGCTTAGAGAGGTGGTGAAATTAGAATCTGGGAGACCAAAGGGATGTTGCCTGGCAAGACCAGTGTCAAATCACTCATACAATCTCTATGGCCAAGTTCCCTTCCTAACCTATGTTTGTCATACCCACTGTATTGACAAGATGCAGTGTGGCCCACATGGCTGGCTCAGAGCTCAGATATCACATATCTACCCATCTACATATTATTGTTATGGGAAGACACAGTATCCATGGGAATATAAGGGGAGAGTGACTCCAGTGGTATCAAGGTATCTTCTCTGCTGTGGGGAGTTTAAGTGAGCAAATGGATGTGGAGGGTAGTGGGTACGACAAACTTGGTATCGAAGAGAGAAGCTGATCACGGAATGAATGTTTCTCATTCTGACAGGGTATGAACTTTGTGGATGTGGCCATTGCCTTCTCCCAGGAGGAATGGGGACTCCTTGATGAGGCTCAGAGATTTCTGCACTGCAGTGTGATGCTGGAAATCTATTCACTTGTAGCATCTGTGGGTAAGATGTTCACATCATTCCTTCTGTATTGCGGTGATGTCCTGTCTTCCTTATTTTCTCCAGAGGTAGCTATGTCTTTCTCATGGACAGACAATGGGCTCTGCTAATTTCTCCCATTTTTTAAATTCTCTTTATTGATTATACAATTATAGTTATTTCAGTTTTTTCATTTTTTCTCCCCTTCTCCGGCCCTACCTCTACTCCCTCAGGCGATCCTCTCACTGTGGTCCATGTCGATGGGTCATGCATATGTGTTCTTTGGCTACTCTATTCCCTATACTGTACTTTACATCCTCGTGACTATTCTGTAGCCACCGATCTGTCATTCTTAGCTCCTTCACCTCTTTCACCCATATCCCAACTTCCCCCGCAAAATTAACCATCAAAATGTCTATATCTATGATTTTGTTTCTGCTTTGCTTCTTTGTTTTTTAGATTCAGTTTTTGATAGGAATGTATTTGTTGCCATTTTACTGTTCATATTTTTTATCCTTTTCTTCTTAAAGAATACCCTTTAACATTTCATCTAGTGAAGGTTTGGTGGTGATATACTTCTTTGGCTTTTTCTTGTCTGGAAAGCTATTATTTATCTGTCCTTCGATACTAAATGATAGCTTTTTTGGGTAGAGTAATCTTGGTTGTAGGTCCTTGCTTTTCATCATTTTGATATTTTTTGCCAATCCCTTCTAGCCTGCAAAGTTTCTTTTGAGAAATCAGCTGACATTCTATGGGAGCTCACTTGCAGGCAGCTAATGCTTTTCATTTGCTGCTTTTTAAATTCTCTTTGTCTTTGGGCATTTTAATTGAGATATGTCTTGGGGTAGGCCTCTTTGCGTTCACCTTGTTTGGGATTGTCTGTGCTTCTTGGACTTGTATGTCTATTTCCTTCACCATGTTAGGGAAGTTTTCTGTCATTATTTTTTCAAATAGGTTTCCAATTTCTTGCTCTTTCCTCCTTCTGGCATCCCCATGTGTGAATGTTGGTATGCTTCAAATTGTTTCAGAAACTCCCATCTTCATTCTTTTTTGGATTCCTTTTTTTTCTTACTGTTCTGATTGGTTGTTTTTTGCTTCCTTATGTTCCAAACCACTGGTTTGATTCTCAGCTTCATCTACTCTGTTGGTTCCCTGTAAATTGTTCTTTATTTCATTAGTGTCTCTTTCATTTATTACTGGATCTTTTTTATCCTGTTGAGGTCCTCATTAAGTTTGCTGAGCATCCTTATAACCAGTGTTTTGAACTCTGCATCTAGTAGATTGCTTGTCTCCGTTTTGTTTAGTTCTTTTTCTGAGATATTGTTCTGTTCTTTCATTTGTGCCCTGTTTCTTTGTCTCCTCATTTTGGCAGCCTCCTTGTGTTTGTTTCTATGCACTAGGTAGACCTGATACATCTCCCCGGCTTGGTAGAGTGGCCTAATGTAGTAGATATGGTATAGGGTCCAGTGGCACAACATCCTCTTTTACCTAAGGTGGATACTCGTGGTTTACCCACTGTATGGACTGTATATACCCTCCTGTGTAGTTGAGCCTTGATTGTTGTTGGCACATCCAAGGTCAGCCACTGCCTGTGTTTTGTCTGGAGTACACAGCATATGCTACAAAGTGACATGCAGATGGCTGCTACTTTGTTGGGCTTGGAGGTACTAGGGCAAGCCCAACCTGTGAACTGAGGCCAGCGGTTGCTAGTGCTAAGCTTGGGGCAACTTAGAAGTATAAGGCTCAGTATAGCCAGATACTGCTTTTTAGAGGTACTTTAGGAAACTCTGAAGAATGAGCCAAGACAAGCCATGCATATGGAAAAGCCAGTGGAAACAGCTTTGGTGGGTGCAAAAGTTGGGTGGGGCAGGGCCTCAGAGAACCACCAGGGTGGGGCAAACAGTGTGAGCCAGGTTAATGGAGTCTCAGATGTGCCTCCCACCTCCTGACCATGTGGTGATATGGGGGGACGGCTCAGAAAAGGAACAGTGGCCTCTGCCAACTCTTTTATCTGGGAGAAAGCTCTCCCCCAGCTCTTGCCTCGTTGCTGAACAGTTCAGGTCCTCCCCTGAAGTCTCTGATAAGTTTCACTCTACTGCTCTGGCACTGGAGCTCAGAGGGATTGAATCTCAGTAGTTCATGCATGGACCCTGTAAGAGGATCTGTCAGAAGTCCAGCAATTTCCATCTTTCACAGCTTCAATCCCCACTGGTTTTTACAGCAGAAGTTAAGGTGACTTCTCTTCCTGGCATTGGATCCTGGCCCAGGAAGCCTGGTATGGGGCAGGGACACTTTGCTCCTAATATACACCTCTTGATTTTATTTGCCACACATGGGTGTGGGACCAGCCCATTCCACTACCCTGCCCCTCCTACCACTCACATTGTAGTTTCTTCTTTAATTCCATGGTTGTAGGAGTTTCATTCAGCTTGATTTCTGACAGTTCTGAATGATGTTTGTGCTATGGTTTTGTTGTAATTATGATGCAGTTGTGCAAGGAAGCAAGTTGTGTTTACCTGTGACCCCGTCTTGACTGGAAATCAGTTTTTTCCCCCACTTTCACGTCATCTGCATTGTGGCTGCCAGTGCTGAGCTGCGTAGAGTACCCTGAGCTGTGAACTCCCTAAGCAGTTCTAACACCTGTTGCCTCAAATACTGCAGGTAAATGTTTGGGTGTTAGGAATCTTGCCAAACAGCTTAATGGACCCACTTTGCTTGCCCTATTTCTTGGAGGGTGACTTTGTCTAAATCCATCACCTCTAGTTCTGCCCGTCTTTGTCTAATAACGTTCTTTTGTGACTGCCTATACCAGGATGTAATCACTACTTGCATGAACTGTGGGCTTTTCTTAGGAGACCCTTCTTGAAGTATATTTTTTGTAATATCGTCTCCCTTGAATACAACTGTTAGGCTGAGTTTCTCTGAGTCAGTGCTTGCTGATTATATCTGTTGTCTTTCATTAATACTTCAGTCATTCAGTTTCTGATCAGTAATACAATAGAAGAATCAGGGAGAACACTGGTTCTTTCACAGGGTAGACATAGCAAGATGGTCTCAGAGGAGGCCTGGCCCTTCTGGCAAATGTTGCAGGTCGTTACATAAAGGCTGTGTTCAGAACATACAAAGAACCTGTCTTGTGTCCAGTGTTGTTTTTGTGCAACTGCCACTGGCCACACCACATTTCTACCTCTTCTTTTCCATACTTGACACTTTGCTGACGTGTCTTTTCATCTGTGACTTCCCGGCTCCTGGTTACCTACATGTTTGTGGCCTCCATGAATCACCTGTTCCTCTGCACGGCTCCCTCTGCAGTATTGTCCAACAATTACGTACGCAGGGGTAATAGGGATGTGTACATCCATTAGTAGTCTTCAAACACTACCTACTCATTTATTGAATTTTACTCAGAAAAGAACATAACCAAACTCCTGCACATGTTGCCCATGTCACCGGCACACAAGCCCTGATTTATACTGTTAGCAGAAGATGAATGTGACTTCCTGCTTCTTTTCCATGTGGTGCTTGCCATCTTTGTGTCCTTTTTCTGGTGAGGTCTCTTATTTTGTGATCTTCAGATGCCCAGTACTGCTAAGTAGCATTTTATTCAACATGTCCTTGTATCTCCCTTTCAGACAATGTCACGAAACCATCATATTATGTCCAGCACACCTTTGTAATGAGACTTGCCCCCCCACCAAATCAAACATGCATTTTATCCGCATTTCTCTTCTTGCAGGTTGTTGGCATAAAAAGGAAGATGAGGAGGCCCCTTCTGAGCAGAGTATATCTATAGAAGGAGAGTCACAGGTCAGGGCTTCCAAGACAGCTCCAGCAACACAGAAGACCCATCCCTGTGGGCGGTGTGTCTCAGTCTTGAAAGATATTTTGCACCTGACTAAGTTCCAAGCAGCATGCCTTGAGCAGAAAGCATCCTTCAGTGACGTGTGTGTGAGTGGCCTCTGTTTCAGTACAAACCATCACCAGCAACAAAGGCCTGCCAGTGCAGAGAAGCCCTGGGGGGCCGATACAGACAGGGCCTCCTTTGTGACCAGCTGCAGCTTTTATGTATCAGGGGCACCTCTCACCAATGCAGAGGTTGGGGAGAACTTCCCAGTTGTCTCCAGCTTTCTCCAGCACTATGCCACTCCTAACATTGAGGAGCCACAGAGTGGCAATGACACAGTGATACAGAGTGGGCAGGCCTGTCGTGGTGGAAAAAGTCTTCAGCTGTCAGGTAAATGTGAAGAAGCTGCCAGCCACAACCACAAACTTGTTCAGTGTCAGAGTGTCTGCTCTGGAAAAGAGTTTTATGAGGTTAGCAAATGTGGAAAAGCCTTTAGACATCTTCTGAACATCATTCCACATAGGAAAGTTCACAATGGAAAAAAGTTGTTTGATTGTAGTGATTGTGGGAAGTCGTTCAACCAAAGCTCTAGCTTCATTCAACACCAGAGAATTCCGAGTGGAGCAAAGCAGTATGAATGCGCTGTTTGTGGGAAATGCTTTCGCTGTAAGTTGCTCCTCATTCAGCATCAGAGAATTCACAATGGTGAAAAGCCTTATGAGTGTAGTAAATATTGGAAGTCTTTTTTCCATTCCTTGTCTCTATTTGAACACCACAGAGTTCACACTCGTGAAAAACGTTGTGAGTGTAGTGATTGTGGGAAATTTTTCAGAGAAAGGCGTAAACTCATTGATCACTGCAGAGGGCACTCAGGTAAAAGGCCTTATGAATGTAATGAATGTGGGAAATCTTTTAATCGCAAATATTGCCTTGAGAGACACAGTGAAGTTCACACTGGAGAAAAGCCTTATGAGTGTAATGAATGTGGGAAATCTTTTAGTCGCAAGTATCACCTCCAGAGACATGGGAGAGTTCACAGTGGAGAAAAGTTCTATGATTGTAGTGACTGTGGGAAGTCCTTCAACCCAAGCTCTAGCATCATTCAACACCAGAGAATTCAAAGTGGAGAAAAGCAGTATGAGTGCACTTTTTGTGGGAAATGCTTTCGCTACAAATCTGTCCTCATTAAACATGAGAGAATTCACACTGGTGAAAAACCTTATGAATGTAGTGAATGTGGGAAGTCTTTTCGCCTTTCCTTTTCTCTCATTCAACATCGTAAAATTCACACTGGTGAAAAACCTTATGAATGTAGTGATTGTGGGAAATTTTTCAGACAAAAGTCTAAACTCATTGATCACCGCAGAGGTCACACTGGTGAGAGGCCTTATGAGTGTATTCAATGTGGGAAATCTTTTATTCGCAAACATCACCTCCAAACACACAGGAGAGTTCACAGTGGAGAAAAACCTTATGAATGCAGCGAATGTGGGAAAACCTTCGGAAAAAACTTTAACCTCCTTCAACACAGGAAACTTCACACTGGAGAGAGGCCTTTTGAGTGTAGTGATTGTGGGAAGTCTTTCAGCCAAAGATCTAACCTCTTTCATCACAAGAGAATTCACACTGGAGAAAAGCCTTATGAATGTTGTGATTGTGGGAAGTCCTTCAGCCGAAGCTTTACCCTCCTTCAACACCAGAGAGTTCACACTGGAGAAAAACCCTTTGAGTGTAGTGATTGTTTGAAGTCCTTCAACCAAAGGTCTGCCCTCATTCAACACCAGAAACTTCACACTGGAGAAAAGCCCTTTGAGTGTAGTGATTGTGGGAAATCTTTCACACAAAGTAGTATGCTCATTTATCACCGCAGAGGTCACACTGGGGAAAGGCCTTATGAGTGTAATGAATGTGGAAAGTGTTTTAGACAAAGCTCTAGCCTTTCCCGACACCACATAGTTCATAGTAGAGAAAAGCCTTTTGAGTGAAGCAAATATTGGAAAAACTTTGGACAAATCTTTTTTAAAAATTCTATTTTAAATGGATAATAGGAGAGAGAGAGGTAGAAATACTGACCTGTTGTTCACTTAGTTATTCATTTATTAGTCCTGACCAGGGATCGATCCTGCCATCTTCAGGTATTGGAACAATGCTTTAACCAACCCAGCCAGGGCTGGAAAATTTTTAACCTCATCTGATATAAAAAGTTTCACACTTGAGAAATGCCTTTTCAGTGCAGTGATTGTAGGAAAATTTTTTTAATGTTATTTTTTGAAAGATTATGTGTTAATTTTGTTTATAGAGAGGGGAAGGGAGGAAGAGAGATAGAGAAACATCAATTGGCTGCCTCTCATATGCTCACCAACCAGGGACTGGGCCCACAAGGCACGCAGGTGTTCCAATAAAGGATCAAACCACCGACCTTTCACTTTTCAGAATGAAGTTCAACTAACAACCATGCCAGTCAAGCACGGTTGTGGGAATTTTTTGTAGTCAGCTCTCCAATGTTACTCAGTTCTATCTGATTTATTCTAGAAAAAAGCATAACGAGTGTGACAGATTTTGGAAACTTTTTAGGCATTTCTCTAGCCCCATTCAATACCAGAGTATTCACACTGGAGAAAGACTTCATGAGTGTAGTAAATGTAAGGAATCTTTTGACTGCAATTCTTTCCTACTCCAGAAAGTTTCCACTGGAGAGAAGCCAAATGAGCATAGTGATTGTTGGAAATGCTTTGGCTACAAATGTATACTCATTCAACACTTGAGAATTCACACTGGAGAAAAATCATATGAATGTAGTGACTATGGTAAGTTATTCATACAAAGGTCTATCCTCATTCAACATCAGAGAGTTCACAATGTTGAAGTGTTTTAGCAGTTTAGTAAATGTGGGAAACTACCCACAAATCTGACCTCATTCCTCATCAGAGAGTTCACCCTGGAACTAGACCTTATAAGTGTAATGTGAGAAATCTTTCACTTGCAAATCTTACCATAGACACCAGAGATTGGATTCTGGAGAAAAAGCCTTAAATGTATTGGGAATACTCCATTTCTCCACTCTGTATAACAATACTGGAGGAGATGCCTTTAGAGCCACTTGCATGATTTTGTATCTCTCACCAGAAAATTATACGTTTCAGGCACAAGCGAGGCTTTAAGGAGCTGATTGTCCTTTCTAACCTGCTTAGAAATACTACCATTTTGATACCTCTGCTAGTGTTTGTGGATGAAGCCATGTTACCTCTACTACCTGGCTCACCTGCATAGTGTGCATCAGTCATAACCCCTGTGTACTCAAGGAAGCTGGCCTCTGTTCTCCCTTTTCCTTGAGGAAATTAGGAAAACCCTGAGCTCTCAGCAAGATCCTCATTCTTTGAATAGGGAATGGACGTGACCCAGTATTGGTATAGCAGACCTATCCTCAGCTAAGAAGGACTGCCTGTTTCAGGGATGTTGTCTTTCTCACATGCTGTGATGAATTTTTGCAGGTTTTTGTTCACCAAACAGCAACCTGCTTGTTGTACCATACTCTAGTGTATGGTCTTTTTGTGAAGGTTTTTTTGCTTTTGTACCTTTAATTTTGGTGATTCTATTCACTGGTTGATTTGAAAGCAGAATTGTTATCTTTCAGCGTGTAGAGGTGAACAGATTTTGTGGGGATTCCAAACTTTTTGTTTATAATGGACAGCATGATGGTAGAAAATAGCTCTTTGTCCAATATTGGCTTATTTTGCTTTGCTGTCCAAGTCCTTAAAAGAAAGATTGTATAACTTTGTGGTCCTAATGTGTATCCTGCTACCGTTTATTGAGGAGGTCAAAGGTCACCTTGAAGATAAGGCATTTCTTGTGTTTCTGTAAACAGTATAAATTATGTTCCCTCATTCACAGTATACATATTTGCTGCCCTTGAGGCAAGGCTGTCTCTCCCAGGATATGAGAAGAGAGATGGTAGAGTCCATATAGGATTGCCAGCCTAATTTTCTAAGGAAAGAGGTATGTAGGTTTTTATTTGGAACCTGTTTTTAAAACTTTATTCAATTGTATATGTACAATTGACATTAAACAAAGTGCACTTATGTGTACTGTTTGGTGAGCTTTGACATGGATAAAGCTGTGAAATCATTACACATACAATGAACCTAACTGGCACCCATATACAAAGTGAGGCAAAAGCAGTTTTATGGTTGTGAGTATGGAAAAACACTTTATCGTATTTTTATTATTTGCATTTAATTCTTATATTATTTTCCATACAAATAACTGAACCTACTTTTGTCCCACCCTGTAGTTTCCTCTTGCCTGTTTACAGTCTCTCTCCCTGGCTTTCTCAGTCCCCCTGGCAATCATTAATACATCTTCCTGTATAATAAGTTCACACTTTGTATAACTTCATAAACATCATAATGTGTATACTCTAACAAATCTTGGTTTCCTTCATGCTGCACCGTTGTTTTGAGAGTGAACATTAATTCTTATGTGAATAGTTCATTCTTTTTATTATTGAGTAGTACTATGTTTTATTGATAACCACTTTTTTTTACCCATTGTTCTGTCTGTTGTTTGGGTTATTTTCAGATTTGGGGAATTACAAATAATGCTTCTATGAATGTTTCCCTTCAGTTCTTTATATGGCTATTTTTATTTCTCAAACTGTTAGTGCCTGAACATTTTAAATATGATTAAAAAATGAAGAAATGTGCAACTGTCTGAAATATTTGTTCCCTTTGCCTTTTCACCCATCCAAAGCATATGAAAAATCTACTTCTGCAATGTTTTAATCACTTGCTATGGTTAATGCTTTTTAAATATCAGCCCTGGAGAATAGTGTAGTGCTTACTTGCTTTGGTTTTCATGCCATTTCCCTAAAAAATCATAAAGGTGAGCCTTTTTTTTTATGCTTTTATTTATCCTGTCTTTATTTCCTTTGGTAAAATTTCTGCTAAGAGTCTTCCATTCTCTTTTTATAAATCAGTTATTTTAACCAACAGGAACACAGTGCAGCAGCAAAGACTTATGTTGGAATTTCACTCATTCTTCAGTAACCTGACCTGAGTAAGGCCTGTGTTCTATGGAACAACTGTTTTTGAATACTGGAAGGACATTTTTTTCTGCTGAATATTTTATGTAGAATTTAAAGCCCACTTTTATCACCACTTGTTTTATGTGCTTTGTTAACTTTTTTAAAATACTTTCAGCATTCAGTAATACATTAACTCAAGTCTAGGTTTGTAATCTTTATCAGTACTCATGGCATAACTGCCAAAATGGTGTTACTGAATATGGAGATTGTAAAATATTCCAGCAGCATGTGATTATATTTTATTTCCAACATACCAGTACAGTCATGATAAGTAACCTCAAGTGCATTGATAATAAATCAGTGAAATAATTGGGAAGTGGCAAGTTTTAAACATTTTTTTAAATGTGATTTAAATCTAATTGACTTAAAACATATAATTTTTTTACTGTACAGTTTCGATATTTCCATACATGCTTGCATCCCTTAAACCAAACACCTGCTGCCCTTTTCAGTGCTTCCCTCTCAGCATATGAAATTACTGATACAGGAACATACTCTAGCCTTGTAATGGATATTTTCAAATATATCCATAAACAGGAGAGACTGTTATGAAATTCCACAAATCATTATCATGATGGTGGTTCTTTTATCTATCCCAGGCACAGTAGTGGGCTGTTTACTTAAACTTTCATCATTAATGGAATTGCTAATTAAAAGACTTCAACAGCACTGGGTTTATAATAGTTTGGCACAAATAATGCCCTTTTTTATTACAAAATCATAGTATATAACTCTGTAACATAGCAATCACACTTGAGCATACCATATGGCGTTTTAGGTGAAATGTTGAAATTGCTGTTGTTGATAAAAAATAAATAGTAAATAATAAAATCACACTCAAGCCGATGTTACTTTTGCCGGACTCTGTGCATATCGTAAAAATGTAACAGAAAATTATAGGGAAAAGTTGTGAATATCTGAATGAAGAACTTACATGAATAGAAACTGCAGAAATCAATAAGAAAAAAATAAGGTAACATCTTTGAGCAGAATCTTCACATAAGAATATATAATTATTAGGCCTAGAAGTGTTGTTTAACGTTAGTTATTAAGAAACTGTAAGTTAAAACTTCAAAGAGAAAGCACTACAAATCCACTAGGATTGATGTGATTAAAAAGAAACCACAGTACTAAGGTTGGGCTCAGCCTGACTCAGACTTCATTGTTTCTTGATAACAATTATCTGAGGTCTTAAGTCTTTCCTCATCCCTCTGGTATTTCCTCAGAGTTTTTTCTACCATTATTTTTGAATACATCCATAATCATTATGAATAGCTCTCTGTAAGTTATACTTCACAACTTTTTTCCTGATATATCAGTACTCATGAACAAAAGGCCCAGCAATCACCAGAGAGAATAATACCTTCCCGCAAAATGAGATGAGATTATCATGTTAGGATGCTCTGTTTGCGTATGTGCTCTGCCTGAGAACATCGTAGTCACTATTCCATACCCAAACACAATTTGTTAAGTTGCTCTCCATTTGAGAAATATGTCAGATTCCTAAAGGAATTGAATAGATCTTAGAATATTGTATAGGAAATACTAAACGGATTAACAATGTTCTATAGATTGGACACCAGCTAATGAGGTTATATAAATGAAGGGGAAATGTTCTCTGTGGGAACCAGAGGCAGAGATAGCTCCTTGTCCTCCTACTTGAGGGCGGCTTAAATCCTGAGTTATGGTTCAGACTAAATGCAGAGTTACAAAATCCACTGATGCTTCTGACTCCATGTATTTGAATGGCAGAAAACATTTAACACATTGCAGGTAAGAGTGGATGCATTTTGATTCTCAATGAGAATATATTTCAATTTAGATTTGAAATAATACTACTTGTTTCATGTAGCATTCTGAGGTTCACGGCATCTGAAATAACGTCTCTAAGCAAGTTGCAGAAAACACTCTCCAGAAATCTACGGACTGGCTTGTGAAATGTAAAGTCATTCCCCAGTGCTACTCTCTGTGTCTCAATGCCTTTATTCCTTCCTTTATTTTACTGACGGACCGCTACTGCCGCCTCTGCGAAAACTACATTACCCAGGGGGCAATGCGCACAGCAAGGTCGAGCTTCCGCCGGCGAAAAAACCCAAACGGGCGTCCATTGGTCCGTACGATCCGGTTAGGGCGGAACATCCGGGTTTCAGTGGCGGTCATTTTGACCTCTCCTGCCTGTTCTCGCAGTCACACCCCAGAGAGCTGCGTTTGGACGGAGCAGACAAGTGGTCCCTGCTGTGCAGAGGCGGGCCCGGCGCTCTGCAAAGTCCCTCGTGGCCTGACCCGGGCCTCCGAACCTCGCACTCTTTGCTCCACCCACAGAGTCTGATGGCGGGGGCCTCGCTTAGGCGCGCGTTTGAGGTGAGTGCGCTGGCCGGGCCCTCCACCCTCAGCCCAGTTTCAGGGCGCTGATCACCTCCTGCAGCCCAGCGCCGGCGTCCAGCATCGGGCGGCGCTCGTGGGTGACGCACGGCGTGACCGGGTGGGAGAGGGTTACAGGATAAGAGGCCGCCGTGTAAGACGCTCAGGGCTGTCTGAGAAGGAAAAACTCTGGGGAACCCATGCCCAGTTTTGTGTCTAAAGGCGACGGAAAACCTGATGAAAAGTTGTGCGTAATGAATTTACTTTCATCTTGGGACGCGGTGGCCGTGGAGGGTTGAACAAAAGAGGAACATTGGCTGAGATCGGGTTATAACGTTTTCCAAACATTGTTCCGAGGAAAGAGAGACCGGAAGAGGTGATAGCATTTGGGGACCGGCAGATCAATCCTGTAAAAGGTGACGTGACTGGCAGAGTCCGCACTGAGGCCGAAGGGTCTGAGGTGGTGCAGTCACCTCGAGGGCACCTGGTCCCGGGCCGGGCGAGGGCACTTAGTGGCCTGAGTCTGTGGGTCGTGGGGGTGGTGGCCAGGCTCTCGGCAGACCTTTCTCTTTCCACAGATTCCTGCATCTGCAGAATCGGTACTGGTTTGTGGAGTTTATTTCAGGGCCTCCCACTCTAATGGTCTTTGAAATAGAGATGTCCTGGGACTGTGGTGCCCCACATCCAGGTTTAGGGTTATGTGAAGTGGTTCCTGTGTTTGGCAACCAGTGAAATGAGACGTGACAGGACCTCCCAGGCATAGGTACCAGAATGTGCAAAAGCTTGGAGGGAAGGCTGAGCTGGTTCAGAAATCCATTCTTCAGGTATCCATTCTTATGGGAACTGGGACCAGTAGAAAAGGAGTCAGGTCTGGAGCAGCTTTGTGACAAGGTGGCTGTCTGTTCTGCAGGTGATGGGAGGCAGTGAGAGATGTAGAGAAGTGGAGACAGGTGATGTGACCCAGGTCTCATTGGAATATCTGAGGCTGCAGCATGGAGAAGAGTGTAGGTGAGAGGGAGTTGGTAGAAGGACCAGGCAGGAGGCTGCTTATATAATCTAGGTGAGTGTGAAGGAGCTGGAAGGTAGCCGTGGAGGTGGGGAAAGCAATTGGAATCTGCATGGATCTTTTGGTGTGGCCACCAAAGTCTCCTAACTTTGAGGTTGAGAGAAACATAGGAGTCAGAAATGACTTCATGGTTTGATTTTAGCAATGGGAGTTATGGAAGCATTACCACATGAGAAAGGGAAAACCACAGTTGGGGATATCAGAAGTTTATTTTTGGCCTGTTAAGGGTATGAGATGTTTCAGAGAGCAGTTAATGGGTGTCTGGAACTCTGAGAAGAAATTCAGGATGGAGACTTATCCAAAATTTAGTGGAGAGTATATGGACCAGAAGCTGTAGTTCACTTTGATATGGGGTATCATGGCTAGGAATTAAGATAATGGTAGTAGGATCTTAGTAAGAACAGGGTGGGCATGATGACTGGGTCTCAAGCTGGGGCTTCTAGTTGTAGGGTGTTGGTGTCATAACACAGTATATGGACGGAAGTGGTCACGTAGAGGGACAGGGAGAAAGTATAATTTGATGAGTGGTCATTGCTTACAAGGGATGAGTGGACATGAGATGGGTTGTAAGCCTGAGAGCATTTTACACAGGAGACGGGCTGGTACATATTCACTGCTCTAAAGACTCACTAGGACTTTGTTGTGACCTTTGGCGTGGCCTGGGGTATCCCAGTCAGGCTGATGGGTTAGTGTAGGGGCATAAGTGGTCATCTGTGAGACTAACTGGACATGGGACAGAAGGCCACTGGGGCTGGGTATTCAGTGAGTGGAAGGTGGACGAGGGAAGGCAGAGTATGAGGTAGAAGGGGAAGGACACCAGGTGCAGCACCAGTGGAAGAGGACTGTGGATATCTGAGATCTGATGTGGTTCTTTGTTGGTGAGATTGAAGCAAGGAACTGTCAGTGAGGGAGGCCTTCATAGCAGGATCCAAGGTAGCCCCTGTCAGTGGGGATCGTTAGAGTGTGGGTAGTACTTAATCTTGTTTGAATTGATCATGTGTTCTCTGGACCACAAATGCTGAGTAATGATTAGAGAGGCCAAGGCATTAACTGTGGTGCAGGTCAGGAGGAGGCTGGCACTGTCGGTGTGCAGTTGTGACAGAGAAGTGTGGTAGAAAGAATGATGTGCACTTGGAGGCTGAATGTGAATTTATGGCCCCAGGGCCCTGGCCTTGACATAAGAGTGAATGAAGGATGAGCCGATGTCTGGTGGTTATTGGAAGAACTGATATGGGTACGTTAGAGGAATTTCCTGAAAAAAGGGGTGTTGTGATTTTACATGTCCAGGCCAGAGATTAGATTCCATTTGTCAGCCCATCTGCTTGTTGTTATTGAGGGCTGATATATCGTTAGGACCTTGGTGAGGTGGTGACATCAGCATCACTCAGGATGGAAAACCTCCACTCGCATTGGGATGGGAGAAGGGTAAGCAGGAAATAGATAAGGGAGGTGGTGAAATTAGAATCCTAGGAAAGAAGTTGATCAGGGGACACACTGTCCTCGCCATGGCAGGGCATTGCTACCTTTGAAGTTGTGCCCATTGGAATGTAGCTTTGTGAGAGAAGTGTGGTTCAAAGAATTATGTGTACAGGTGAGCAAACCGATGGCCTCAGGGCCCAGCATTGGGGTCATAAGTTGAAGAGTGGCCATAATTTTTTGACTTGGAGGGACAGTCAGGGAGACCATAGGAGTGCTGCCTGACAAGACCAGTGCCAGATCACTCACACGATCTCTATGGCTAACTTCTCTCCCTAACCTACGTTTGTGACACCCACTGTATTGACAAGAGGCAGTATGGGACAAGCGGGGCAGGAGTCAGTATAGAGTGGGTTTGTGACAAGGTGCCAGGCCCAGAGGTATCATCTGTCCACCCAACTGCTTATTGTTGTTGTGGGAAGACACAGTATCAGTGGGAATATAGGGAGAGAGTGATACTGATTGCGCCACGGCCTGGTATCTTCTCTGATATGGGGGGTTGAGTGAGCAGATGAATGTGAAGTGTGAGGTAAGACAAACTTAGGAAACCTAGGAAAGAAGCTGATCATGGAATGAATTGTCCCCATTCTGACAGGATATGAACTTTGCGGATGTGGCCATTGCCTTTTCCCAGGAGGAGTGGAGGCTCCTTGATGAGGCTCAGAGACTTCTGTTCTGTGATATGATGCTGGAAATCTTTGCCCTTGTAGCATCTGTGGGTAAGACCTTTACATCTCTCCTTGTGTCCTGAGGTGATAACCTTCCCTATCTTCTCCAGAGGTAGTTTTGTGTTTCCCACAGCCAGACATTGGGCTCTGCTAATTTTCCCCACTTCCTTGTCATTTGTGCTGTGGCTGACAATGCTGAGCTGTGTGGAGTGTCCTAAACCATGAACTCCCTAAACAGTTATAACACCTGTTGCCTCAGAAAGTTCAAGGAAGTATCTGGGAGCAGGAGTCTTGTAAACAGCTAATGGGTCCTATTTTGCTTGCCTTCTCTGTGGCAGGGTGACTATGTTTAGATCCATGGCCTCCAGTTCTGCCCTCCTTTCTTTAGTTAACATTCCTTTGTGACTGCCTGTGCCTGGTCATGGTCATTACTTACATGAACCATGGGCTGTCCTTAGAAAACTGTCCTTGAAATATATGTTTTTTGTAATACTGTCTTCCGTGAATATTACTGCATGTCAAGTTGTACTGGACCAGTGCTTCTTGATTACATCTGTTGTCTTTCATTAATAGTCGATTCATTCATGTTCTGAGTCTAGTACAAAAGTGGGTGCAAGGAGAACCCTACTTCTTTCACAGCATGGACATGGCAAGATGGTCTTAGAGGAGGCCTGGCTCTGGTGAGTGGCAGCCGGTGGAGATCGGGACATACCAAGAACCTGTCATGTGCCCAGTATTGTTTTGATACAAGTGCCACTGGCCACACCTCATTTCAACCTGTCCTTTCCCATCCTACACTTTGCTGACTTGTTATTTCATCTGTGACTTCCTGGCTTCTAGCTACTTAAACATTTGTGGCCTCCATGCATCACCTGTTCTTCTGCATGACTCCCTATGCAGTATTCTCCAACATTGACCTGTTAGGTATGATAAGTTGCGCATAAACCTTAAGTATTCCTCAAACAGTAGCTACTTATTTATTGAATTTTACTGGAAAGAGGACATTACCAACCTCCTGCATATCTTGCCCATGTCACTGGCAGACAAGCCCTGATGAACGCTGTTAGCAGAACATTGATTGGAGATCTTCTTTTCCATGTGGTGTGTGCCATCTTTGTGTTAGCCCAACATCAGTTGGAGATCTTCTTTTCCATGTGGTGCATGCCATCTTTGTGTCCTTTTTCTGGCGAGGTATTTTCTTTTTGTGATTTTCAGAGGCCCAGCACTGCAAAGCAGCATTTCATTCAATATGCCCTTAGTTCTCTTAGTTTTAGACAATCTCAAGAAACCATCATATTATGCCTACACACCTTTGTAATATGTCTTGCTCCTCCCACCAAAGTCCACATCCATTTCCTCAGCGTTTCTCTGCTTTCAGGTTGTCGGCATAAAACAGAAGATGAGGAGGCCCCTTCTGAGCAATGTGTATCTGTAGGAGAGTCACAGGTGGGGGCTTCTAAGACAGCTCCAACAACTCAGAAGACCCATCCCTGTGAGCAGTGTGTCTCAGTCTTGAAAGATATTTTGCACCTAACTGAGTTCCAAGCAGCATACCTTGAACAGAAAGCATTCTTCAGTGACCTGTGTATGAGAGACTTCTGTTTCAAGGCAGACCTCCACCAGCAACAGAGGCCTGCCAATGGAGAGAAGCCCTGGAAAGGACATATGGACAGGGTCTCCTTTGTGACCAGGTGCAACTTTTACATATCAGGGGCACCTTTTAACAGTAGGGAGATTGGGGAGGACTTCCCAGCCATCTCAAGCTTTCTCCAGCACCAGGCGACTCCTAACACTGAAGAACCACACAGTGTCAGTGAGACTGGGCAGACCTTTTATGGTAGAAAAACTCATTACTCATCAGGTGCATGTGAAGAAGCTGCCAGCCACAGCCAGAAACTTGTTCACCGTCAGAGTGTCTGCTCTGGAGAAGAGCTTTATGAGGGTAGTGAACGTGGGAAGGCCTTCAGACAAATTTTGAACCTCATTCCACATAGGAGAGTTCATACTGGAGAAAAGATGCACAATTGTAGTGATTGTGGAAAGTCCTTTAGCCAAAGCTCTAGCCTTATTCAACACCGGAGAATTCACAATGGACAAAAGCCATATGAATGCACTGTTTGTGGGAAATGCTTTCGCCACAAATTTGTCCTTGTTCAACATCAGAGAATTCACACTGGTGAAAAACCTTATGAGTGTAATGAATGTGGGAAGTCTTTTCGTCTTTCCTTTTTTCTCATCAAACATCAGAGAATTCACACTGGTGAAAAGCCTTTTGAGTGTAGTGATTGTGGGAAGTCTTTCAGACAAAGCGGTAAGCTCATTGAGCACCGCAGAGCTCACACTGGTGAAAGGCCTTATGAGTGTAGTGAATGTGGGAAATCTTTTAGTCGCAAATATCATCTCCTAACTCATGGCAGAGTTCACACTGGAGAAAAACCTTATGAGTGTAATGATTGTGGGAAGTCTTTCAGCCAAAGTACTGGCCTCGTTCGTCACCAAAGGGTTCACACTGGAGAAAAGCCGTTTGAGTGCCGTGTTTGTGGGAAATTCTTCCGCTGCAAATCTATTCTCACTAAACACCAGAGAGGTCACACTGGAGAAAAGTTATATGAGTGTAGTGAATGTGGGAAATCCTTTAGTCAACAGTGGTGCCTTATTGAACATCGTCGAGTTCATTCTGGAGAAAAACCATATGAGTGTGGTGAATGTGGGAAATGTTTTAACCAGAGCTCGAACTTGGTTAAACACCGGAAAATTCACAATGCTAATAGACCTTATGAATGTACTAAGTGTGGGAAATATTTTAGCTGCAAATCTTCCCTTTTTAGACATGAAAGAGTTCACACTGGAGAAAAGCTAAATGAATGTCTTGTATGTGAGAAGTCCTTCAGCCAAAACTCTGCCCTCCTGCAACACCAGACAGTTCACACTGGAGAAAAGCCCTTTTGAGTGTAGTGATGTGGGAAGTGTTTCAGACAAAGCAGTAAGCTCATTGATCACTACAGAGGTCACATTGGGAAAGGCCTTATGAATGTAATAATTGCAGGAAGAGTTGTAGACAAAGCTCTAGCCTTTCCCAATACATCAAACTCCATATTAGAGCAAAGTTTTATGAGTGAAACAAATGTGGGGAAAACTGGGCAAATCTTCTTTTCAAATTTCATTTTAGATAAAGGGAGAATAGAAGAGAGAGAAATATTGATTTGATGTTCTACTTAATTATGCATTCATTAGTTGATTATTATATGTGCCATGACCAAGGATTGAATCCTTAACCCTGGGGTATCAGGACAGTGGTTCAACCATGGCAGCCAGGGTTGGGCAAATATTTAAATTCATTTGATATAGAAAAGTTCACACTTGAGAAATGTCTTATCAGTACAGCTATTGTGGGAAATGGTTTAGGAAACTCTCCAATGTCATTCAACACCATCCAATTCATTCTAGAGGAAAGCATTATGAGTGTGGTGAATACGTGGAATTATTTAGCCTTTTCTCTAGCCTCACTTCACACCAGACAGTTTATAGTGGGAAAAGATCATGAGTATAGTAAATGTGGAAAATCTTTTAGACACAATTCTCCCCTACTTCTGCTCCAGAGAGTCTACACTGGAGAAAAACCTTCAATGTTCCGACAAAGTTTTATTTCCTCCCTCAGTATAACATCACTAGAGGAGGCCCTGAGAGCCATTTACCTGAATTTAAACCTATTTCAGTGGAGCATACACTGTGATAGATTCCACATAAGTTTCAGATGCAAGTGAGGCTTTAAGGAGTTGCATTGTACTTTTTAACCTGCCCAGGACTGTTAACATTTGGATATCGCTCCCAGTTTTTGTGACTGAAGCCATTTTTCATTACCACCTGGCTCACCTGCACAGTATGTCAGTCATCCACTTCAGCATGCTCAGGAAATCTGACCTTTGTTCTCCCTTTGCTTGAGGAAATTATGAATACTCCAAAGTCTTAACAGGATGCTCATTCTTTCCCCTCTAACTGTGGAATGGCCCTGACCCATTGTGAGTCCAGAGGACTCATTGTCAGCTAACAAGGATTGAGTCTCAGCACATCTCATTCTCATGTTATGCTGTGTTGAATTTTTATAAGTGCTAATTTACCAACCTGGAAACTGCTTGCTGTACAATGTTCTGGTGTATGATCTTTTTGTAAATTTCTGTTTTGCTATTGTACCTTGAATATAGGTGTTTCTATTTAGTTAATGGGATGATTTCAAAGCAGGATTGTGATCAGTGAGTATGTAGTGGTGAGCAGATTTTGTGGGAGTCCCAAACTTTGTGTGCTTGAAAGACATTATGATGCATAATGAGGTAGAAAATCACTATTTGTCCAATATTCATTTTATACTTCTCCCCAAGGCTTAGAAAGTAAGACTGCTTGGCCATAGTCCTAATTTGCAGTCTGGTGTGCTGATTATTAGGGAGGTCAAAAGTACCCTGAAGAGGAGCCATTTATTGTGCTTTTTTGAACAATATGAATTTTATTGTGTTCACAGTATATATTACATAACCCCAGGTGTGTTGAGGGGACCATAGTTCATGCAAGGGAACCGTGTGCCATGATGTACAAAATCTTATATGCTGGTGTGGTTTTTTGTAAGACTCTGAGGAATGGGTAAAACCACTGTTGGGACAGAAACAATGTACTTAATGGTGCGTGGAAGGTGCCTCTTCTTTAAGTTCTTCCATAAATATTCCAGGGATTAGCTTTTGTAATCTGTGTATACAGACATTCCTCTGTAACTGTTTCTCTAGCTGACGTCATTGGCAAAGAAAATAGTCTAATGCTTTGTGGACTTCCCCTAGCCTTCCTAGGGTGTTCACCTCTGGGCCATTACGCTACAGGCAAGTATACAAAGCTAGAGAGAAGAAGGATCTTGCAGTCAGTCTCAAGTGTGTCCTTGTGACCCAGTCAGCATTCCTGATGGTTTGGATGGCAATAGTTCTCACTACTTGCTAATATTTTCTGTCACAGAGGCAAGGCCGCCTCTCCCAGGACATGAGAGAGGTGGTAGAGTTCAAGTAGGGTTGCCAGCCTAATTTCCTAAGACATAAGTGATATCTAGGTCTTCATTTGGAACCAGTTTTCAATGCTTTATTCAGGTATATGTGTATGTGACTTGCAACATAATTTATCTATTGTGTAGTGTTTGGCAGGCTTTGACATGGATAAAGCTGTGAAACCATCACACATGAAATGAACTTAGCCTTTGGTAACTCTCTCTGTTGCAGAAAAACATATGGCTCCTATCGACTAGTGCAGGCCCTCTGAATTATAAATGAGTTAGCATCCCCCTTCATTCAGTTGTTCTCAATCCCTACACCTTTCTCAGCATCATCCCTGCCAATACACAGCAAAGCTCTCAGGACTTACATTGTGGATACATCTCCCAAATCAAACCCATTGACCCACCTACGAACTCCATAGGAGGAACGGAGGACTCCAATCTTTTCTCTTATTCCTGTCAGCCAATTCTGGATAACAAGTTCTGACTCACCAAAGTCCAGCTGATGGATATGTGAGTCCCGGAAATTACCTGACATGATCTGATACTACTGGGTAATTCCCCTTATTTTACAACTCCATGTCATTCTTAGTAAGAAATTTGTGTCCTTGCTGGGAACCCTAGTTTTATTCCTTCTAATCTTCTCCCTTGGAAAAATGTTCTAACACCCTTACCTACCTACAGTCCAGGAGGTTTAATTTTCTAAACAATGAAGCTACTCAGCCCTACAAGAATTGTTGGATATACACCAACACCTCTCAGAGAGGAACTAATAGCAATTTCTATCCCTCCTTCAGAATGGAGCCAGTTACAGACCTACCTGTCCAGTCCCTACAAATTTCTATTGATGCAAATGGGCCATAATGAAAGGATTAAGCCCACAGTAGACCATATACTTCTCAATCTCCTACACCAACAGACCCAATAGAATATGTGAGGACCAACAACTTCCTCTGTAGATCTCTGTAGCCAAGCGTTCTCTGCCTTAATAGTTGAGAATAGACCAGGACCATCAGGTGGATCCTTTTCTAATGTATCTAAGAACTGCAGTCACTTGTTTGTCCTGTCCCCTTCTCAGACATGGGCCACTCTAGATACTACTTCCTCCATTAGCCCAACCTATTAACTCCACCTCTCCCTTTTACAGAATCTACATCCCAAAGCCCCCCCAATATAACTCATGTGGAAGCAAGCTAGTTACTTTTGGGCTTCTATTTGCCTAGGCCTCCAGAACAACTGCCCCTTGAAATATCATAACTTCTGTTTCCAACCACAAAACAAAGGACAAACTGGTAACTAAAAAGTTATTCCACTCTCCAAAGTTGTAATATTGGCTGTGACTCTTTCCCCCTTTAAAGTGGACCTTCCACTTTTCTTCTAATTCACACTGCATGTCTACTCCCACTGGCGGGAATGGCTCTAGCTACAACCTCTGAGGGCATTGAGACATTCAGTAAAGGATTTTCCAAGGCCTGCTTTAGTATCATGATTGATATTTGCCTAAACTCAAAAAAGGACACCTACTTCTGCAGGGATTAGGCCTATCTGTATTTACCTGCTAAGTGGACAGGTACTTAAATAATTCCCAAACTTGCTCTCGTCAATGACAGTATACTTCTCCCCTTATACTCCTAATCCACAAGAGTTAAAAAGGGGGCCTTAGCCATAATCACCATAATTGGCATTGTAACCAGAGTATGAACTGGCATCAGAGGCCTTTTAAACTCCATTTTTTCAGCCAAATGACTCTCCTTAGAAGTAACTCAACAGATCATTGATTTAACCAACCAAATTAATACCCTACAAGAACAATTCACCTCCCTAGCAGGAGTAGTCCTATAGCATAGGTGGGCTCTAGACTTAACTAATGGCTAACCAGGGAGGATCCTGTGCTATGCTTAACAAAGATTGCCATTTTTATTTATTTATTTATTTATTTTTTGGTTAACCAATCTGGAAAGATACAAAACAATTTAAAAACTATTCACAAGGCCAACAAGTTCTATAAAGAAGCGGACTTGGGAGGATTTGACTTGTGGGATCTTTAGGCCAATATCTTGTCCTGATTTTCCTGGCTAACTCCTTAGCACCTTAGCAGCCTTTATTCTTGCCTTTTGGCCATGTCTTCTCAAATATTTCATATCCTTCATTCAACACAGCATCCAGCCTCTGGGAGATTTCCCTCAACAATTGGTCTCTGGCCACAGCTCCCACTTTTTGAGCTGTCCAATTCCAGCCTCTTTCCCTTAATGACCCATACCCGGACTGTCATGTAAGGACAACTCTACAACCCTAAGCAGTAGGAAGTAGATATAAAACCTGCCCTGGCTGGTGTGGTTCAGTGGGTTGAGCACTGATCTATGAATGGAAAGGTCGTCAGTTCGATTCCTTGTCAGGGCACATATCTAGGTTGTGGGCCAGGTCCCCAGTTAGAGGCAAGAGGCAACCAATCCATGTGTCTCTCACACATGGATTTTTCTCTCCCTCTCTTTCTCCTTCCCTTCTCTTGGAAAGTAAAATAAAACCTTAAAACAACAAAAACGAAAGATGAAACCTTTGTCCATACTCCCCAAAATCATTAAGAATACAGCCATCAGCTTCAGAATTCGCCAAACTCTGTACTCGTTGCATTTTGATGAGAAAATAATGATTCATTGCTTGCTGGAGACTTATAGCACTTGCTAGAAGTGGTATGAGTCACGATGCTGGCCTCAAGAGAGAATGCTCCATCACTCATTGCTTGCTCAGTATTTGTCAGTTTCAGCACTCATCATGAGTTCCGGAACAAATTAACAGTAAGCACTAAGGTACCACTGAAAAATAATTTTAAAATTCCAAAAGGGGAATTAAAGGGCAAAGCTGGTGCCATTCGCTGTACAGGCCTATGACCTTGTTAAGCACGACTGCCACTTTACTCTTCTGAGCTTATGTCCCCAGTGCAGGAAAACAACTGGAAAGGCAAGAACAGGTAACTAACCATCCCCCACAGCCACAGGCCAAAGATAACATTGGACCAAACTGCAGCGTCTGCAAAATGAACAGAAACTTCCTGTGTTACAATGCTCCTAACAGCCCAGCGGCCACACAACATCCATACCCCCTTTTATACTTCAATAAAACCTCAAAGCCCCAACACCTCAGCATCTTGTAATTCTCTATACCTGGCCCCTTTCCTCTGGAAAAGTGTATTGAAGTTTTATCTGCATTTTCTTTTCTTTGTGAATTCTTTTGTGTTCAAAGGGCCCTAGAAGTATGGCCACTTTTAATCGAGGTCCCATGTGGTATCTGAGTGGCCCAGGCCATGTAGTCACTCTTTGTCCCCTCCTGGCTGGAGAATTACAGTTTAGGGAAGAGGCAGGTGCAAACCCTGCCAAACTGCCCAACCCAAGAAGGCACCTTAGGTATAAACAGCCCAACTTCCTTAGGTAGACCCTCTCCAAATGCACTGCCATTCCGCCTTCCAGAAAGATCAGACTCCAAGACTAGCCCCTTCCTCAGCTCCTGAGATGTTCACATCCTCCCACGGTGCCTGAGGCAGGCCTGCTCACTATCGCCACTTTCCACTGGTGGAAATTGAACCTGGGCTGGGATTGGAGGGGAGGTCTTTAGTGACCCCCAGTTAGGGTGGGGATCCAGGCATCGACTCCAAGCCCACACCCCGGCATCTCAGGAAGTCTGACTCCCTGCATTTCCCTTCTCTTTCACCGAAGTTGTACGCTGAGAAACCCTCCTCCTGGGTCCTTCTTCATCTTCAGGGTGGTCTGCAGACCTTCCTGGATGACAATGGGCCCTGTATTAGTCTGCTCAGGATGCTATAACAAAGAACTTCACACTGGGGCAGCTCAAACAACAGAGATCTATTTTCTCAAACATTCGGAGGCTAGAAATCTAGTCAAGGTGTCAGCAGGGTTGAATTCTCCTGAGGCCTCTCTTCTTTGCTTGCCGATAGTTTTTCTAGTCTGTCCTCACCTGGCTGTGTGCGTGCGTGCGTGCGTGCGTGTGTGTGTGTGTGTGTGTGTGTCCATCCTAATCCCTAATCTTTTTTTCTAAGAACACCAGTTGACCCTGTTTTCAAATACAGTCACATCCTGAGGGAATGGGGTTAGGACTGCAGAGTATGCATTAGTGGTGTGCAGTTCAGCCTGTAAGAGTCCCCATGCATCTCTTCATAAGGAGCTAACATTAAGGAGATCTGTGGAGGGTTTTCTCACTTAACAACCCTGATATTATCCAGCAGGGGAACTATTTATTATGTCTACTTCTCAAAAGAGGGATCTACAGCTCAAAGAGGGCCCCCAGGTGGCAAGAGTCTGAGTGGGGAGATTTAGTGGACCAGCTTTGGGTCACATCAATCTTGTTTTCTTGCATCCTCTTCCTGAAGGAAATAGCAGATCCAGCCAGACCCCCAGAATCCTCTTCTGTGAGGTGGGACCATCTAGTAACAACACCCAGACATCACTAGAGGACCCGTGGCCCCTCCCCTACACATGCTGCGCCTTCCCTGCAAACTCCTGCTCTCTGGTCCTCATGGAACTCCCCACCATCACCCTGGCATCCCAGACAGAGTCATCATTGACACCCCAAACATATGACTGGCTCTCACGGCCACATACAGTGATTTGTATTTAAACCCTGTTGGTCTTCCTCCTAATATCACTGCACGGTGCTCCCTCCACTTTGTGCCTCAGCACTGAACTGCCACCCAGGAATCACTGTCACTACTGTGAATGCTGAAGGACAGAAGGAAGCTCAGGTTCTTCCCCCACCAATTTAGCAGGCGAGGTTAACCTTGACCTCTTCTTTGTGATCGTCTTATGAACAATGATGGAGTCCCTTGACAGCGTACACAGCCGTGGCATAAAGAAATGGCAACCAAGTGCAATTGAGCCAAGAATCAGCTGTGCCTTCCCTGACATTGTAGGTTTTTAAATGAATACTGTTAGTCAGCCAAGAGAAATTAGGAAGGCATGCTCTTCAGTGGAATATAATCAGTCTCCCAGCTCCCTATACCAATTATCTCTATTATACCCACAGTGTTTTAATTTACAGAGGTGACTATATAGGGACATGGTGAGTTTAAAGCAACTGTAAGAAGTTTTCATTGCTTACAGTTCCCAAGAGCAGAGACACCCTGTGCCAAACACGGCCTCATGGGAAAGCAATGGTGTTGGTCAGAAGACAAAAGACAGGAATGAGGAGAACCTGGGCACAAGTGTTTCTTATAGTTTTCCTGAGAGAGGCAAGGCAGCGGAGCTTATATCATATAGGACTGGCAACTTTGAATAATTCTGGCACGCTTTGGGGAATAGGGCTGGCCCCTAATATTTTAGTACCTTATCCTCGGTTGATTTTGGTGAAACACTGGCTTCTAGTGTGAGAGTCAGATAAAGGGATTGTATTGGATTATGGCTACAGATTGGTTGGTTTGCATATGAAAGGAAGAGGTTGTTGGGCATATTGTTTGTTATCTTTTAGAATTAGCTAGTTTTGGGAGGGGTAATCTCTTCCAGTCTATGGGCCTCCAAGGTGTCAACATAATGAAATATAGGAAATAAATGAATGTCATTAATATATGTATAGATGTACTTCTCACACATAAATTCAGCCAATATTTCTATTCCTCATTTTTCTTTTTTTTTAAGACAGCTTCACGAATTTTTATGCCAATCTTGTGCAGGGGCCATTATAATCTTCTCTGTGTCATTCTAACTCTAGGACATGTGCTTTAGTTGGTGTGGCTCAGGGAATTGAGCCCGACTGTGAACTGAAAGATTGCTGATTTTGATTCTTGGTAAGGGTACATGCCTGGGTAGCACGTCAGGTCCCCAGTTAGGGCATACCAGATGCAGCCAGTCGATATTTCTGTCACATGTTGGTGTTGGTCGCTCTTTCTTTCTCTCTCCCTTCCCTTCTCTCTAAAAATAAATAAAATATTTTTAAAAATTTAAAAACAATTCCAGTATATGTGCCACCAAACCATCACTGTATCCCTAAGCCTTCCAATTCTGTCTTCTATATCATACCAGACTAATTCTGGCATCTCAGCCTCATTAAGCAAAAGACTACCATTGAATCCACAGTCAACTGAAAAGGTAGACTGTTAGAGCCACCTCCTCCAGCTTCATAAGTTAACACACTACCAGACTCTCTAATACTTCACAGTTTCAATGAATTTGGTCCATTCATATATTTTATTGGTCTATTAATATATTTTGCCTTTCATGGTCAAATATCCTTAGAACCCATATCCATAGTTGCTGTCCATTTTTTGAAGAAAAAAATACTGTCAAAGAATCATAATTGTATGATGTGCCCATTATTTTTCTGGATCATGCTGAGAATTAGTATTTGTTATAGATTGTTCTGGTAAATCTTGTGAAGAATTAGCATTTCTTCCTTTTAAAATTTCTTTTTGAGATTTCATTTATTTATTTTTAGAGAGAGGGGAAGGGAGAGAGAAAGAGAGGGAGAGAAACATCAATATGTGGTTGCCTCTCACATGCCCCCCATCAGGGATCTGGCCCATAACCCAGGCATGTGTCCTGACTGGGAATCAAACCAGTGACCCTTTGGTTCACAGGCTGGTGCTCAATCCACTGAGCCACACCAGCCAGGGCAGAATTGGCACTTCTTTACGGGTGGATGCCTCACGTGGTATTAGCAAAGGAAGACTAATCTGCCCAGACACCTGGTAAGAGAGAGCCAGTCACTTAAGATTTCAAGATTGTAAATTTCTTCTGCATCTAGCTGAATGTCCTAGTTCATGATTTTGAATCCCACTTTATGAATCAGCACCCTAGTATTCACTTGAGAAAAATTGTGATACTATATTCAACTCTCATTGTAATTTTGTAAGACATTAATGTTTTGACTTTCAGCTCTATGATCCCTGAAGACATGGAAATCAGAACTTCATTTAAGACTATCATGCAACATTCTATTTTTCACACTGGGACTAAAATTTACTATTTTTTTGTTTGTTTGTTTGTTTGCAAGCAATAAGATGAACTCAGAAGAATTCTTCCCTGACCACAGTCCTTGTAGTCACACTCACTGCCCTGGTATCAAGTAATGTGGTACACTTATCACTTTGTCATAATCAGCTCCAGGTAACAGATTAACTATGATACTGTCTTGTGCCATGAGTTATTAGCACCCGAGTTTCCATTGGTTAGGTGTTCAGCTCTTTATTCAAGCCAAAGAGCATGACCAGACCAATCTCACCAAATTTTATCCTCATGCGTTTATCTACTAGTACAATTGCCAGAATCAATTCATTATCCATTAGGGTTTAATTAGGAGAAAAATTCCATAGCAATTTGTATAGAAAAAGTTTGTTAAAAATATAAACTAGAATATTGCAATATTGGGAAATTACTAATTATATGTAAAGACAACCCTAAAAACACTGGAATTATATATATATGAAACTTTAAAATGATATAACATTGCAACACAGAATTGTGGAAAAATTATGAATATGTGAATTAAAGACTTGCATACAAAAGAAATCACAGAAATCAATAATAAATCCACAAATACAAAATAAATGAGAATATGTGCCTTTTTGGATTTGTAGTTTTTGGGCAAAATTGAAGCAATACTTTTCTCCTTACGAGCATTTTGAGCTTCATGGTGTAACAGGGAATAAAAATTTTATACTACCATGACATACCATGAAATAGAATTAAAAGAAGATATACTAACAAACTTATAAAAAGAACTCAAATACTCCCAGTTTCTTTGTAAGCATATTGCAAGCGCCAGAAGTTCTAGTTTCTGCTTGTACAAGAAACGTCCTTGCCTGTGACTTCAAGTGATGCAGATCACCCAACTGCAGACATTTGACTGGCACCGATCAGTTCCAGAATGCTGACATTAAAGTTCCATATCAGGACCACCAAGGACACTGCCAGGATGTCCACAGTCTTTCTCCTGATTCCTCGTTCTCCTCGATCAATTTCCTCTTTATGAAAACCCTTGCCTTCACTGAGATATGAAGTTGAGTTTTGAGAGGAGAGTCGCGGATCTTCCCAGGTTGCAGGCACCTGAATAAAACCACTTTCCTTTACATCAGAGCTCGCCTTTGGAGTGTTGGCTTTCCAAGCAGAAGGGTTCCGTTACAGTTTTTTGCTAGTATGAAGGAGTCAGAAGTAATGTCTCCAAACAAGTGATGATAACACTCCCCAGAAACCTGCGAACACTCCCTGAAACCTAAAGTTGTCATTTCTGAGCGCCACTTAACGTGGTGCCACAACATCTTTTCATGTATTTCACATTTATTTGAATAAGTAATAGATGTACATGATTTAGTAACACTAAAACTAACCACAAGAAAAGTTTCCCTCTCACCAGTCCCCATTTGCGGGGTTTCGCCCTAGATAACTTCTGCTATTAGTTTTGTATGTAGACTTCTAGATACTTAAACAAAGATGTTTATATAAGCAAATTTTAATGCCTACTCCTATCCTCCCTTTTTGAACTAATGTACCATACTATACCATTTTATTCTCCCTCGGTTAATATATATTTTTATTTTTATGTTTTATACGACTTTATTTTAGTTTTAAGTAGTCTTTTTTAAAAAGTTAAACATTTTTAAAAATTGTTTCTGCTGTTACAGTTGTGCCCAACTATACCATTTTTATTGGCCAAGGACGGTGACGGGGAAAGTAAGGCTCCCTGCGGGAGCTGGGAAACTACATTACCCAGAAGGCACTGCGCCGAAGACGGCGGCCTTAAGCCAATGAAAGCCCAGGAGTGGGGCTTTTTCCTGTCTGAGCATCAGTTAGGCTGTGATTTCCCGGGTTTTTTAGTGGCAGACATTTTTACTTCTCTGCTCCGTTCAGCGAGAGAGACCCTCCCCAGCTGGTGTGCGCCAGACGTGCGGTCCTCGCCGCTCGGAGGCGCCTCCCAGGCAGGACGAGCCGCAGGAGGCCGGGTCGGGGCCTCCGCGTCTCGTAGCCTCCGCCCCGCCCACAGAGCCCAATGGCGGCGGCCGCGCGGAGGCTCCCTGCTTAGGTGAGTGCGCGCTCCTGGGCCCCGCGCCTCACGCCGCCGAGCCCCGCAGCCCGCGTGGGGGGCGCCCGTCACGTCCTACAGACCAGGCCCCGGCGTCCGGGACGTGAGGCGCTCGTGGGTGACACACGGTGAGACGGGGTGGGAGAGGGCGACGGGCTGAGGGGCCGACTGCGGTTTCCTGACGGAACCTCTTAACCCACCGGCGGCTGCTCCTGCCCCGGCAGGTTCCACAAACTTTCCCGCGTCCGGCAGCCTTCAGGCCCTTGACTGGCCCAGGAGAGGCGTCAAGGACACATCGCTGTGAGACTAAAGCAAGTTTTGTGCAAATAGAGAAAAAGAGGTCAGTGTGGGCGCCTCTATGAAAGAAGCAAAAACGAGGGCCTCCGAGTGGACGCGGGGCCACGGGAGCGTGAGAGAGCGAGAGCCCAGGTCTTGGGATTTTATGCGTTTCCAAGGGTGGGGGCTTTGTCTCCCAAGTTTTGTGGCGCCAATTTCTGATTCTGCCGCTGGTTGGGAGGGGTCCTTGTCGTTGCGGTTTCCGTGAGAGACGCAGGGGCTTCCTGCCTTAAACCGTTTTCCTTTGTTCCTGTCCAGAGGTAGGGGCTCTGCTACGAGGATCCGAGCGCCTCCGTCTTGTGTGGGATTTTTCCCGAACTTCTTTCAGCTGTACTGTGTACTGTCCGTTGTACCAGGTCGGTATGACATAGCTGAGACTCTTTCTGGAAGCCATTTGCTAAGTTCCCGGGTGATTTCTGAGAGATGCCTGGGGTGTGGAGCAGGAGGTGGCAGAGCGGAGCGAGTGAACCTGCGGGTGAAGCTGTGAACGAGGACGAGGTCACAGAATGGTGTGCGCCGCGAGAGGGAGCGGGAGCTCTTGGTCCTGGGTACCTGGTGTGGGGATTGAAGGGTGAATTATGAGCCCACGTTTGGCTGTACTTTGGAGGCGTGATCTGGGAGACTCAGTGGAATTGCTGGGCGGGAGGGATAGAGCCCTGCAGGTCCGGTCTGAGCATAGATGCTGCATGTCTGCTGCACATCCCATCTTTGCTTCTGTTGCTGAGGATGGTGAGAGCGTTTAATGAGACTGTGATGCGACAGCAGGCAGCACTGGCACCAAGGGCAGGTGTCGTCTCTGAACTGGGTCCTGAAGAGGGATTTGGGTCTGGGTAAGTTTTGTACGTTGTACGATTGGGGGAGCTCCGGCAGACTGTTCCGGATTTGTTTGTATTAATTCTGATATGTTGTTGTGGCCTTTGAGGATGTTGCTGTGTCTAGGACAGAATGATGCCTCCTTGTTCAGGGTCAGAGACACCTGTACCTCAATGTGGTGCTGTAGAACTTTGTTCTTATATATTCACTTGATAAGACACTCCTTGTACACTCTTCTTTGGACATGCCTGCATCGCCCCTTTCTTCAGGCTTGTAGTGTGCTGCTTCTGTCCTAAGCTCTAAGGGCCCTGACCAGATTTGCCCCCAGAGAGCAATGGACAGCAGCAGCCGCCAGTCTTGGGCTCACGGGTTTTTTTGCCTCATTTCCCCAAACTTTAATAAACTACCCCCTCCAATTTAAATCAATCAGTCAATCCATCCCACACTCACTGGTGACTTGGACTAGGCTTTGCAATTCCCTTGAGCCCTTCATTCCTCAGGGATTGCTGTGTTCTCACCTGTGAACACTGTACACTGTTTGCTTTCCCATTTTAGGTAGATCCCGGACTTGACAGGGCTGGTTTTTTTGCACTGCCCCTTCTCTCCCTGTAGCCCCATTAACTGCTGTACTGAACCCTCATAGAATAGGATTTGAGGTCAGTAGAGTTGCCAGAAGCCTAATAGATCACATTGATTAGTGAGGAAAAGCATTTTTTAAATTCCCACGATGGTGGGAGAATAAACTTAATAAGTATGGAGACTTCTTAAAGCCCTTAAAAATACTCACCCCAACATTCTTCTGCAAGGATCGCCTCAGGAAATCATACAGCCCTAGCTGGTGCGACTCAGTCAATTGAGCTCCAGCCTATGAACCAACAGGTTGCCTGTTTGATCCCTAGTCAGGGCATATGAGGTCTGTCTGGAAAAAGTCCAACCATTGGCCCTGGCTGGTGTGGCTCAGTGGATTGAGTGCTGGCCTGTGAACCAAAGCGTCACTGGTTCGATCCCCAGTCAGGGCACATGGCTGGGTTGTGGGCCAGATTCCCAGTGGGGGATGCTCAAGAGGCAACCTTCCTTCTGCTCTCTCTAAAAGTAAATAAATAAAATCTTAATTTAAAAAAAAGGAAAATGTCCAGCCATTGTTGATATAACAAGAATGGTTTGTGCAACATTGACATAACCCAGCAGCTAAGGAGAATACACTCAAATGTTCATACATGAACAATGTAGACTTCACTGTACTAATCATTGGGGACAGTAGATACCATTGAATATGCATGTGTACCGTATGGTCATCACATTCAAAATGAGTGAGTAGAACAACAAATCTTCATCAAATTTTGCATTAAGCTTGAACATTCCTCTGTAGAAACTATTCGGGTGATTCAGAAGGCAGCAGCCATGGGTAACTAGTGATTGGCAACTTCATTATGACAGTGTCCCTCTTCATGCATCACATCTAGTGCAGAATTTTCTGGTGAAACATCAGATCACCCAGGACCAGGTGACTCAGCCCCCCTACAGCCCACATTTGGCGTCCTGCAAGTTCTGGCTTTCCCAAAACTAAAATCTTTGAAAGGGAAGAGATTTCAAACAGTCCATGAGATTCAGGAAAATATGACAGGGCAGCTGATGGCCATTGGGAGAACTGTGTGAGGTCCCAAGGGGAAAGGAGGGAGAAAGGGAGGGAGAGAAACAGCATTGTGCAAGAGATACATATAACGTTGCCTCTGGTGTGCCCCCAAACTGGACCTGGCCTGAAACCCAGGCATGTGCCCTGACCAAGACCCGAACCGGCAAGCTCTCAGTGCACGGGCCGGCACTCAGCCCACGAAACCACATCAGCCAGGGCTGTACGATGTTCCTTCCTCCCTTCCTCCCTTCCTCCCTTCCTCCCTCTCTCCCTCTCTTTAAGATTTTATTTATTTATTTTTAGAGACGTGGAAGGGAAGAAGAGAAGGAGAGAAATGTCAATGTGTGGTTGCCTCTCATGCACCCCCCTACTGGGGACATGGCCGGCAACCCAGGCATGTGCCCTGACTGGAAATTGAACCAGCGACCATTTGATTCAGGGGGCAGGCACTCAGTTTACCTAGCCACACCAGCCAGGGCTGATGTTTCTTGTATCCTGTATCTTCTTCAGTATGTGTCTCTATTTTTCATATCACATGGATGTATACTTTCTCGACAGAGCCTTTCCTCCCTCCCTCCCTCCCTTCCTTCCTATATTCATCCAAGGATATGTTTATTACCTGTTACAGAGAAAAACATCCATTGTATGCCTCTAGCACATGCCCTGGCCTCGGATAAAACCTGCGACCTAGGTATTTGTTCTTCCTGTGAATCGAACCTGCAGCCTTTTGGTGCACTGGGCAACACTCCAACTAAATGAGCCACCAGCCAAAGCTGGATAAAATGCTTTGTATATATTTACTAGTTCTGTTTTCTCTAAAATATAGCCAAAGTTCAATAATTCCTTATTGCTTTTGAACGGGATCATCTTCCCATTGTTGAAAGGAATATTTAAGTTGTCTAGTACTCTTGCGTTGTGTTTTCTGCCTTCAGATATCATAGTGTTTGCTTAATGTATTGAGGTGCTCTGTGGTTTGGTGAAGAATAATTGAAACTTAATTCTCTTAATGAATTGACTCCTTTATCATTTTAGGATGACTTTTTTCTTTTGCGAAAGTGTTTGAAATTGTCTGTTTTGTCTGATTGAATTTTAGCTACTACTTGCTCTCTGGTTTTTTTACATCTCTTTCTTTTTAGCCTATTTGTGTTTATAAAGTTTTAGTGAATTTCTTGGAGGCAGAACATACTGTGTCTCATGGGGGTGTTTTGGGGTGGGCACAAGGTAAGCCCAGCCAGGCCTCAACTTATTTATATATTTTATAAATTTAAACATTTTTCAATGGTGTTAGGATTGCCTGAGGGAATGGATGGTACTGGCTGGACAGGAGCGAAGGAGGAAAAATTGGGACAACTATAATAGCATTATCAATAAAATATACTTAAAAATAATTTAAGAAAATTTTAATTACAACTGACATACATTATTTTAGTTTCATGTGTATAGCCCCGTGATAAGATATTTATTAAGTGATCATACTGATAAATCTCTCACCCATCTGAAACTATACATAGTTATTAGAATATTATTAGCTGTATTCCCTATGCTGTACTTTACATCCCCATGACTATTCTGCAACTGCCAATTTGTACTTGTTAATCCCTTCAACTTTTTCACCCATCGTGAGAATTTTTGTGTTTATTTGAGCCAAACTGATGTCAGTGGCCAATAAAGCAAGATCTCAAATGCTTTTGTGTCTTATGTTTTTCATCCCTTCAACCACTCTGTCTCTTGATTGAAGAATTTGTTGAAAGACTTACTATTGCCACTTTTTTAATTGTTTTCTGCTTCTTTTGTAGTTTGTTTTTTGTCTCATGCTTTTTTGTGTGTGTGATTTGATCCTTTTCTATATGGTATGATTCAATTCCTTTCTCTTTTGTGCATCCATTATGTAGGATTGTGTAAGCGTTTTCCATTAGACTTATGTAAAACATTTCATACTCGTATAATTTATTGTAACCTGAAAACAGCTTCAGTTGCATGCAGATATTCTACCCTTCGATTCTCTGTCATACCACTATTGTATATGTTTTGATGTGACAGTTTATTTTTTATTTTTATTTATTTTTTAGAGAGGGAGAGGGAGGGAGGAAGAGAGGGAGAGAAACATCAATGTATGGTTGCCTCTCAGGCTCCCCCTGCTGGGGACCTGGGCTAAACCCAGGCATGTGCCCTGACTGGGAATGGAACCGGTGATCCTTTGATTCACAGTCCAGTATTCAATCCACTGAGCCACACCAGCCAGGGCAGACAGTTTAAATCTTTATATTTTGTGTATCTATTAACAAATTATGGTCACCATTTGTTATTCTTAATACACTTAATTTTTATCCTATACAATAAATAAAGTACACTCCACCAATGAAGAGTTCTAGTATTGTGAACTTGATGACATTCTCAACTTTACCAGAGAGTTTTTACACTTTTCTATGTTTCTGTGTTTTTATGTCGTATGCTTTTATTTCAGGTGAAATAAATTTTTTTTATTGCCATTTCTAGTAAGTAAGGATGAATGAAAATTAACTTCTTCAGCTTTTGCCTTTCTGGGAAAGTTTCTTTTTTCTCGCTATTTCTGAGGAAGAGGTTTTCTGGTTAAAGTATTGTTGGTGTGCAGATGTTTTCTTTTAGTGTTTTGAATACATCATTTGATAGTCTCCTAGCTTGCAAGGATTCTTCAGAGAAATCTACCATTAGCCTTACCAGAAACATTGTCCTGTACATGAGGAGTGTCTAGTCTCTTTGGTCTTTTGAAATTTTCTTTGCCTTTCATTTTTGACTCTTGTTACACTGCATCTTGCTGAAAGCCTATTTGCACTGTATCTGGACAGGGACCTCTGAGGATAATGAACATGGTTATTCATATTTCTTTTTCATATTTGGAAGTCAATCTTTAGCTCATTTATTAAAAGTAAAACTTTTACTCCTTTCCTTCAGCTCCCTTTTCTGTCTCTCACTACCTCCAGGACTACCATAATATAAATATAGGTTATCTCTATGGTGTTTCAAAATTCATTTAGGCTGCCTTTCTTCTAAATTTTTTTTCTTTTACATAGATGATTTTGTATAACCTGCCTCTGAGATGAGGTCACCATTTGACTGCTCTAGTCTGCTTTTGAAACTGTTTGCACCTTTCACTTTATTCATCATATTCTTCTAATTTATAATTTATGTTTCATTCTTTATTGATTTTTATCTCTCTGAACCCCATGTGTTTATGTTTGTTCATTATATTGAGTTCCATGTGTATTTGCCTTTACCGAGGTTTTTAAAAATGATTAGTGGCATTTTTGTCTGGCAATTTGTATGCCTCCATTTATTGGAAATTCAATTTAACATTGTGATGTTCCTCTTGTGATTTTTAAAAAATATTTCTCTTTGTCTTAGTATTAATATCTGAGCATTTGATGAAACAGTTACTTTTTTGGACTTTATGGACCAATTCTGTTTAGAGAAGTGGTTCTTTTTTAAAGATTTTATTTATTATTTAGAGAGAGAGAGAGGACTGGAGGGAGAAGAGGAAGAGACAAATATCGATGTGCAAGAGAAACATTGATTGGTTGAGTGTTGCACTCTACCAACTGGGGACCTGGACCACAGCCCAGGCATGTGCCCTGATTGGGAATCCACCAGCAAACAATTGTGTATAGAGAAGTAGTTTTATCTGCATGTGGATACAATTGTGCTTAGTAGGTGGGGTATTGTGTTTTGTACTGAAGTCAAGTTTCACTTCTCATTCTTACTGCTGCCCATGAGCTGAGATCAGAGAAGTGAAGGCTGTAGACATCCTCAGTGGCCAGGGCAGTAGTTATCCCACATTTAGTGATCTCTTTTGGAGTCTTGGTGGTGACAAAGGTTGCTGGGGAAATACTGATGTTATTCTTTCATAAGTGATGTTGTGGCCAAGGGGGTTCCTCTTGATATCCATGCGGACAAACTCTACAGATTCTTTGAAGTGAAGTCTGTGGGGAGTTTGGAGACGTGATAGAGAATCCTGAAGTTCTTAGAGATAACGATTGCCATGGTTATTTATGAACAGTCCACTAGAGTCCACTGTAGAACGAGCACAGTGGCTTGGAGAATAGGTGCTCACCCTTGTCTTGTGAATCTAACCATCTTTGCTAAGCCAGTCTCTCTCGCAGTTGTTTCTATGCAGTTCTTTGTTTTATGCTCCACTTTATGGCAGTTTAGAAAAACTGGTCCCCAAGCCTTTACCCCTTTCTTCAAGGGCTGCTTTTTATCATAGATAATTGTCTAATTACTCCTGAAGGGGGTTGAATATTTGTATTTTTTATTCTGCCATCTTGCTGATGTCTCTCACATAGATCTTTTCCCTTGGTCTGTTTGTGCTGAATTCTGCGACAGTGCTGGTTATTAATCACTTCTGTTTTCTCTCATACATTTGCATCATCAGTATGCCATGTGATTGCTCTACTCAGTGAATTGGAAGAGGGACATGAGCCCAGCCATGACAGGATGGGCTCACAGGTGGTCTGGAATTGATGAATGGCACTTGGGTAGAGTTTGATGCCAGGGCTTTGTTAAAACATAATGAGAAAACTGTTCTGTTTAACTGTATTTTGTCACCATTACCAGTGGCCGCACCTTAATCTACATGTCTTTTCCAACTGTTGACACTTTGCCGTTTGTTCATTCTCATGGTTATCATTTCTACTCTGACTTCCAGCCAGGGCTAATATCTGCCTGTGTAAACTCTACAACAGGTGTCCCCAACCAGGCTGCACAGCAGGAGGTAAGCGGCACATGGGCAAGCGGAGCTTCATCTGTTTTTATAACCACTCCCCATTGCTTGCATTACCTCCTGAGCTCTGCCTCCTATATGATCAGTGGTAAATCTCTCACCCATCTGAAACTATACGTAGTTTAGTTTCTCTCATAGAAGCCCAAACCCTACTGTGAACTGTGCATGTGAGGGATCTAGGTTGTGTGCTCTATGAGAATCTAATGCCTGATGATCTGAAGTGTACCCGAGGCTGTGAAGCTAGTGCTGGGGAGCGGCTGCAGACACAGATTATGATTAGCAGAGATTGTGTATTATGGTGAGTTGTATTATTTCATTATATGTTACAATGTATTAATAGAAATAAAGTGCACAATAAATGTAATGTGCTTGAATCATCCCCAGACCATTCCCCCTGCCACCTATCTTTGTCCATGGAAAAATTGTCTTCCATGAAACCTATCCCTGGTTCCAAAAAGTTGGGGACTGTTGCTCTACACCACAACCATTTCTCTAAAGAGCCATTTTGGTGCTTTCTAACTTGGGTTAATGCCTGTTGAGCCCTGAAGTGTGTACATATTTCTATATAAACCTTGCACAGCATTTCCTCTGCTACAGTTGATTGTCATGGTTTGGGGTACATTCACATTCCTCCACACAGCCTGACATTACCAGCAGGAAGGGTTTTGCAGGCAGCCGTCAGTGGTAAAACAACTTCTAAACCTTTCTTCTCTTCCTTGTGTCCCATCCTATCCTAGTGTCCTTTGTTTCATGAAGTGCCCATTATTTACAGACGTTAGTGGCCTGGTAATACACAGTTACGAGTTTTTCAGAATCTATCTCACTTTGAAAACTGTCAACATGGAATTATGATTAGACGTGACAGATGCAAATTTGTGGTGAGACTACCCTTCCCTATTGGTCAATATGTACTTCAACAGTTTTTCTTTTTGTTCAGGTTGCTGCTGTGGAGCTGAGGATGTCAAGGGATCCATTGAACAGAATGTTCTGTAAGAGTCTCACAAGCTAAAATCCCATCAGCACTGCCTTCCCAGAGGAGCCACCCCTGTAAGAGTTGTGAGCCTGTCTTGAGAGACATTTTCTTCTTGGTTGACCAACAGGGAACACAACACAGACAGAAATTGCTGTGGTGTGGGGCATGTACAAAATAATTTTATTTCAGTGCAAAGTGTCACGAGCACCTGGAGGAGCACCGAACAAAAAATTGTTTCACAAGCACTGTGGACAGGGTCTCACTTGCAAAGACCTGCAATTTCCATTTGTCATGGAGGCCTTATACCTCTAGTTAGGCTGGAAAATACTTTGCTCAGAACTTATTGAGCAAGTGGCTATTCACACCATGCACAGGGAAAATGAAACCTCTAAGTCTGGAATGACTTTTCAAAGTACAAACTGTCACAACCCAGGAGAAGGTAAAAAAGCCGTTGGCTGTGATGACACACTTGTTGAGGATCAGGATTTTCTTACTGGAAGACAGTATTATTTGTGTTGTGAATGTGGCAAATCTTTTACCAGTAGCTCTAACCTCCATGATCATCAGAGAGTTCACACTGGAGAAAGGCCTTATGAGTGCTCAGAATGTGGGAAATCTTTTAAAAGGAAATATCACTTTCATTGTCATCAGAGAGTTCACACTGGAGAAAGGCCATATGAGTGCTCAGAATGTGGGAAGTCTTTTACCTGTAGCTCTCACCTTCATTGTCATCTGAGAGTTCACACTGGAGAAAGTCCTTATGAGTGCTCAGAATGTGGGAAGTCTTTTACCAGTAACTCTGACCTGCGTAAACATCAGAGAGTTCACACTGGAGAAAGGCCATATGACTGCGGTGAATGTGGGAAAGCTTTTACCAATAGTTCTGCCCTCCGTGATCATCAGAGAGTTCACACTGGAGAAAGGCCGTATGACTGCGGTGAGTGTGAGAAATCCTTTACCAATAGGTCTGCTCTCCATTGTCATCAGAGAGTTCACAATGGACAAAGGCCTTACGAGTGCCGTGAATGTGGGAAATCTTATACTAGTAGCTCTGCTCTCCGTTATCATCAGACAGTTCATACTGGGGAAAGGCCTTATGAGTGCAGTGAATGTGGAAAATCTTTTACCAGTAGGTCAGATCTCCGTAAACATCACAGAGTCCACACTAAAGCAAAGCCATATGAGTGCATTGAATGTGGGAAATCTTTTACCAGTAGCTCTGACCTCCGTAAACATCATAGAGTTCACACTAAAGCAAGGCCTTATGAGTGTGGTGAATGTGGAAAATCTTTTACTAGCAGTTCTGACCTATGTAAACATCACAGAGTTCATACTGGAGAAAGGCCTTATGAGTGTGGTGAATGTGGAAAAGCTTTTACCAGTAGTTCTGCCCTCTGTAAACATCACAGAGTTCACACTGGAGAAAGGCCTTATGAGTGCAGTGAATGTGGGAAATCTTTTAAGAGGAAATATGACTTTCATTGTCATCAGAGACTTCACACTGGAGAAAGGCCTTATGAGTGCAGCGAATGTGGGAAATGCTTTATAAAACGCTCCAGCCTTATTCAACACCATCGAGTTCATTCTGGAGAAAAGTCTTATGAGTGTGGCAAATGTTGAAAATCTTTGAGCCGAAGCGCTAACCTCGTTTAGCACCACAGAGTTCACACTGGAGAATGATTGTAGTGAATGTGGGGAACCTTTTACCAGTAGAAGTAATCTCTGTTATCATCAAAGTTTTTACACTGGAGAACAACCATATGATTGCAGTGAATGTGGATATCTTAGACACTAGCCATAGTCTTTGTTACCATCAGAGATTTCACACTGGACAAAGGCCTTAAAAGTGCAGCAAATATGAGAAATTCTTTTTCATTAGCAGTGATGTTTACAATCAGAGAGCTCCCACAGGAGAAGGGCGGTATGAGTGCAGTGAATGTGGGAAGATTTTTATCAGAAACTTTGACCTTCGTTGTCATTAGATGACTTACAATAAAGATTTTTAGAACTTTTTTTTTTTTTTTTTTAATTTTCACCTGTGGACAGGTTTATTGATTTTAGAGAGAGAGAAGGGAGAAAGAGGGGGGAAAACGTGAGAAAGAAACAACAACTGGTTTTGTGTTGTATGTGCCTTGATTGGGAATCAAACCCACAGCCCAGGTATGTGCCGTGCCTGGAATTGGACTCGCAACTTTTTGGTGCACTGAACAATGCTCCAACTTACTGAGTTGTCCTGCCATTGCTGGAGGAAGTACTTTGGAGTGTAGAGATGTGCAAATTTGAATCAGAAACTGACCTTCATTCTCATCAGAGAGTTCATATTGGAGAAAGGCCTTATGAGTACAGTGAATGTGGGAAACATTTTGCCCAAAATGCTAGCCCATCTTTGTACATGATAGTTCACATTGGCAGAATTTCTTAGATATATATGAAATGTACTATTTCCTTATTTAGTGTTAACAACACTGAAGGAAACTGATTAGGGTAAACCATGATTGCTACAGAATCTTTGGCCTAATAGGGATTGGAGGAGACTGCAGCCAGCTAGCTGGAATGTACCTTTTCTGAATGTGCATCCAGAAATGTTACTGGGAAAAAGACTGCAGGATCAGTGTGTTCATGAATCTGATGATCTCCAGGCATGTTTATCTTCTGTGGCCAAAGTAACTGTCAGTTAAAATTATCAAGAGGTTTTGTGGATTTCTGTAGCCTTTTATGTATTCACCTAAAGACCATTGATGTCCAGGTAGGGAAACAAAGATAAAGAAAAGGGGTATGTATAAGAAAAATTAAAAATAACTTTATAAAGTACTACCTATAGAGTAGGTATGTGGCTTTACTGATAGTGTTCTTATTGATTTGAATCAGTTATTTATTGTTTGGTGTATTTGATATCACTGAGAAAAAGTGACTTCTGGAGGATGTGATGTCATGGATTGAATGTAAAGTTGCCAAACCTATTTTCCAAAAAGTGTTGGAATACAGATTTTTCAAATTTTGAACCATTCCTTAAAAGTTTTTATAAGTAAACCACATATTTCAAATCTCTCCCTGCACCTCAAATCTCTCTAAGTAACCATTGATTTGCATTCCGTTTTCATGGACAACTTTGCATTTAATAGAGTTTATATGATGGGAATCAAAGTAGTTTTTCTACTTTTATTTATGTTATGTAAATACTTGAGTTTTAGTAATGATATATTTGTAGTTGATCTTCTTTGTTTAGAATTATCCCTGTCTTTGAACATGTCACCCTTATTTATTCATTTGTTCATGGGCATTGAGTTATTTGTACACTCAGATTAGTGAAAATAAAGCTGGTAGAAACATTTGTATATAATCATCTAATGGATATATGTTTTGTTTATCTTTGTCAATGATCATAATGCAGCCTCTTAGTTGGAGTGTAGGTGAATGTTAACTGAAAGAATTTAGCAAGTTGTGCCCTGGCTGGTGTAACTTGGTTTGTTGGAACCCTGTCTCCTAACTGAAGGGGTGTGAAATAGCTAAGTTGCCATTTTTAGCCTGGTCATATAGCTAAGTTGCAAATTTGATGCCTGGTTCAGGTGCATACTGAAGGCAACCAATTGATGTTTCTCTTTCATACCCTTTTTTCACTTTCTCTTTAAAAGCAATCGAAAAAATGTCTATGGGTGAGGATTTAAAAGAAAATTAGCAAGTTGTGATCTAAAGTGATTGTACTTATTTGCATTCTTTGAGTAATGTGTGAGGGATTCATTTCTTCCACATTCTAGAGATAGAATACTTGCTTTGGTTGGTTATTTATCTATTAAAATCCTTACCTGTGTATATGTGTACTGATTTTAGAGACAGGAAGAGGGAAGGAGAGACATAGATGAGAGAGTAACATCAGTTGATTGTTTTCCCCACATGCCGCAGCCAGAGATCAAACTCAAGAATTGAACCCATAACGTTTTGGAGTATGGGATGATTCCCTAACCAACTGAGCCATCCAACCAGGTCCGGTCAATCATTATGTATTTAAACTTTCTAAAACTGTCTTGCTATCTCACTGTCCTTTTTTTTTTTTTTTTAAGATTTTATTTATTTTTAGAGAAAGGGGAAGGGAGGAAGAGAGGGAGAGAAACATCAGTGTGTGGTTGCCTCTCACGCATCCCCTAGTGGGGACCTGGCCCGCAACCCAGGCATGTGTACTAACTGGAAATCGAACTGGCAACCCTTTGGTTCACAAACTGGCACTCAGTCCACTGAGCCATAGCAGCTAGGGCCCCTTTTTTTCTTTTTAAAAAAAATTTGCTGAGTTTTAGAGACAGAAAGAGAAACATCAGTTTGCTGTACTCATTTATGCATTATGGTTGATATGGTCGATGCTCATATGTGCTCTAACGAGGGATTGAACCCACAACCTTGGTGTATTGGGATGATGTTCAAACCAACTGAGTCTTTCCTTAGTTGTGTACTTGATATCTCTGCATGTTTGGTAAAATGCCTGAGCATGTGTTTGGCTATGAATTTTGACAGTTTTTTTAAAAGAAAAGGACAGCAAAACAAAAAAAAAAAATGCATGTTGAAATTCACTCAATTTGTGCCTTTTTTGCTTTGTGGAATAAATATTTTTCATATTGCAATGATGTATTCTAATATTTTTCACATTTTTAATAGTATGCAGAATGCAATGGGCATTTTCAGTTTTTATTTTCACTATTAATATTCTCCATCACTTTAAGAAGTCTAGTCATTTAATAATACAATAACCCTTTCCTTGCAGTTTTCTCCCATTTTTCTGGTCTGCATCATGGGAGTTTTTGGATTAGAACAGAACTCTCAGGGAAACCAGATGGCATCAGGATGGGCTGGGTGTTTTTCAGCTCCAAAGCCCATTGCAGAGGGAAGTAAGAGGGCAATGATCAGACTTCCCCTGCTCAGGGTCTGGCACCCTGGATTTGAATCCCAGGTTCCAGAGTATCATTGAGACTCACTGGGAAACGAACACTGGTCTGGACCTCAGCGCGTGTGCGTGCGTGTGTGCGTGTGTGTAAAATGAGTTAAAATATATCTCCATCACTTAGCTGTTGGAGGAGGTCAAGAGCTAAAGTGACCATTTGCTGTGCAGACATTTTTGGGCACCTGGGCTGAAAACAAGTGAGGTTTTTAAGAACCCATTGACCCACTATTAAGAGAGGCAGGTGCTGTAGGCACTGAGGTCTCAGTGTAGTGTTCCCATCCAGGAATCTCCAGGTGATTTGGTATAGCTCCCTGAATGTCAGTTGGCTCAATGTGACAAGCAGGTGATGATGGCACTTACCTTGGCCTCCAGGGGTCAATAAAAGGAACAAGCTGAGGACTTACAGGTGCCAGGATTCCAGGGTTAGCTTGTTGAGCATTTTCTCTCTTTCATTCCCACAACAACCTGGGAAGCGAAAACTAATACTGAAGTGCTGAGAAAATCCAGGATTAGAGAAATGAAGTAGGTTCTCCACGTGTGCACAACAGATAAGTGTCAGATGTAAGAAGTTGATTTCCAACCCAGAATCCTGGCTCCAGAGATCGGGACAGTACCAGTGCTTGTGAAACCCTCCCTGGGGCAGGTACACTGTGAGAACCAGGGAGGGTCAGCTGAAACTGCTGTTCTCATTGTTACAATTACGATTTTTCCCCCCATTCCCCTGACATCTCAGAGCACTTACCCTTTGCCCCTTAGTGTTTACTAGAACGCCATCAATCTTCAACTCTGTTGGTTTTCCCAGGGGCACTTTTTTTTAGTCGGAGCACAATTTGTCTGCCTCACCTTTGAGCTCACCACAAAAATTGAGACTCAGGAGACCATAGTAATTTGGACCTGGGTCTCTGCACCTTCATTCACATTTTGGGTCACAGGATGTAATCCCATTTACTGTAGTGAATTTAATGTCTCAATTCAACTCTTTGGTGTCCACACATGGCACTGACATTCACACTGCAAAGAGTGGACAACTGCGTGTAAATTTGGGGACCTTATATTCAGAAATGATGCTGGAGACCTGTAAAATCCTGGTTTCATTGGGTGACTTATCCATGCAAGGGACCCACTGCTCGCTTGTCTCTGTCCTCTATGTCCAGAGTGGCTGCATGATGCACTTGTGCACAGTGTCTTCCCTTCAGCCATGACTATTCTCGGGAAAGTTATTTCCAGACTCTGTATCAGCACCAAAGATCTTTAGGTTTGAACATAGATTTTTCTAAACACAAACTCTCACCCTAATAGCTGGTATACTCTGGCCACTACTGAGATTTTTACTCAAGACTCCAGTACACAAGTATGTGCTATAGGATACAATCTATATTAAAAAAAAATTGTAAGCCCTCTCCGGGTAGCTCACCTGGTTAGTGTCATCCTGATAGGCCAAGGTAGTGAGTTTGACCCCAAGTCAGGGCCATATAAGAAGCAACTGATGAATGCATAAATAAGTGGAACAACAAATTGATGTTTGTCTCTCTCTCAAATCAATAAGTAAAAAATAAAAATTTAACTGTGGGTCATTTTAAGGAAAATAATAACCGTGGTGACAACTTTGGTCCCCTAAGTACAGACGAGATGCCAGGTTAGTCAGGCACAGTTCAAACACCACTCATTGAATTCTAACATCATCCTTATTTTTGAAACTTTAGTTGTCTTTAATTGAATTCATTGGGGGTGACATTGGATAATAAAATTTTATGTTTTAGGTATACAGTTCTATAATACATCAGTTGTGTGTTGCATGTTCATCACCTCGTCTCTTCATTGCCACTTTTCCTGCCTCCCCTCTTCTCTCAACCTCTACCCCACATGCCCTGTGGTAATCACTATGTCACCCTTATTCTTTAGCTTTTGGATTCTTTATGTGTTTGATTTTTTTGCTATTTTGCATTTTACAATATTTTTTGGCATGCAACAGAAAGTTTTAACACCCTCCTTCACCAAATATGTTAGTAATCCCTGGCTGGTTAGCTCAGTTGATTACAACATTGCCAAGGTTGCAGGTTTGATCCCCAGTCAGGGCACATATAAGAATCAAGCAATGAAATGTATAAATAAATGGGACAAAACATTGATGTCTCTCCCCTTTAAATCATTAAATTAAAAAAAATATGTTAATAAAACTCCAGATTTCATTTGTAACTTATGCTCTGCATAGGTCCAAAATGCATATCAAACAAGAGTTATAAAAATACTAAAGATCAATTAAAAAAATGAAACAGCCCTGGCTGGTGTGGCTAGTGGATTGAGTGCTGGCCTGTGAACCAAAGGGTTGCTGGTTCAGTTCCCAGTCAGGGCACATGCCTGGGTTGCAGGCCAGGTCCCCAAGAAGGGGTGCACAAGAGGCAACCACACATTGATATTTCTCTCCCCCTTTCTCTAGAAATAAAATCTTTTTTAAAAAATTTAAAAAATAATGACAGCCTTTTAAAATTATTTTTGTGAAATTTACTTCAGCCAAACAGAACATACCTAAGATAAAAATCTCAAAAGACAGAAAAATGCCACGTACGTGTGTGTGGGTGTGTGTGTTCTAATGGAGAGTAATCTTTCAGAATGAACATGGAGAGTTTCAGTGTGTTTGCTCAGCAATGAGAGCAAGAATGCACCACACAGTTTGTGGAGGAAACCTGGAGGGGAAATACTAGGCAGCCCTAAGGCAAGTGGATGAGCTGGCACCATGGCTCACAGACCCTCAGAATATATATCATCTGCTTCTCTGTCACTATTTGTGTTCCAACTTCAAAAAATAGTTGTTTTCCACATAAAGTTTCTTACTGAATTTTCTGTGATAAGGGTCTATTTTACACGTCTTTAAGAATAAGACATACCTGGGAAAAGTGGTTACATACCAAATTTGCATTTCGTGCCGGGATGGTGGCAAGGTTGGCATTTGTGAAGGTTTGAAAAGTGGGTATCTGTTTTTGAGATGAAAATCTTGGATCCCAGGATTCCTCAGTTTTACCGGAAAATCATATTTCACATAGTGACAGTGTCTGCATGGGAACTGCATATTTTTCCTGGAAAAGAATTATGGTTAAGTAAACTACAGAAGGGTTTTAATGTTGATTAATGGAGTAATACAATGAGGATTACAGAGATTGCTACAAGAGAAAAGACTTGAAGACAGAACAGGTACGTCTCAACAATGACAAAGGACCTTGAGATCTAACAGGTTATAGATTGTTTATTTTTTGACTTTAGAAAGAGAAAATGGGGGGTGGGAGGGAGGAGAGAGAAATCAATTTGTTCTACTCATTTATGAAGTCATTGGTTGATTCTTGCAGATGCCTGACCAGAGATTGAACCCACAACCTTGGCATATTGGGGGGATGATGCTGTAATCTACTGAGCTGTCTGGCCTGGGCTGAGAGATTAATTTTAACTATGGATTTTGTCAGATGGGTGCAAGATTTATCAGAATAATCACTTAGTAAGTTATATAATGTCTAGTCACTGGAGTATACACCAAAAACTAATATTTGGTTGCCAAAAGTTCGTTTGTTTTCTTTCCATAAGATGGCTCTAGTAGTGCTTAATTGTCTTTAATTTCATTAAAAACAATTTTATTAGATTGTATTGTTACAGCTATCATATCAGCATGCATTTCAAAAATAACAAAATTGGTGAATTTTTGTGTAGCCACTTCAGTATTGAAGATGGAAGAAAATAAGCAACATTTTTGGTATATTATGCTTTATTATTTCATGAAAGATAATAATAAAACTGAAACAAACATATTTGTTCAGTGTATGGAGAAGGTGCTGTGACTGATGAAACGTGTCAAAAGTGGTTTGTGAAGTTTTGTGCTTGAGATTTCACACTGGATGATGCTCCACGGTCGGGGTAGAGCAGTTGAAATTGAAAGTGATCAAATCAGGACATTAACTGAGAACAATAAATGTTATTACCACATGGGAGATAGTTGACCTACTCAAAATATCCAAATATCTAAGTAAAGTTATGGTGAAAATGAAAATGTGTCTTATTTTACAGAAAAACTAAATGGTCTTTTTTGGCCAACCCAATATATACTTTATCTGTTCTTTTTTTAAATTATAGTTTACATTCAATATTATATTACTGTCAGGTATACAGCATAGTGGTTGGATAGTCATATACTTTATAAACCAATCCCCTCAATATTTCAAGGACCCGCACCCCCGCTCCAGCACTGTACATTCCTGGAGCCTTCTGCCATGAGTACCTGTGAAAAATAAATGGAGCTTCTCAGAACCCCATGATCTGCAACCACACAAACCCCACCATGTGGAAGAGGTGGCTTCACGGCACTGAAGTCTGAAAATGCATTTCCCACCTGGGCGTTTGTGAGTGACTAAATCTCTCCAAAACTCACTTCACTGGCTCATGCAGAATTAATGAAGTCACTAACCATGGCCCCTGTGAGGATCAACTGAGGTAAAGAAAAACACTAAAAAAATACTGCTACTAGTATTCCAGGGTTTTTAAAATTGTTTTAATTTTTTTTAAGTTTTTAAAAAAGATTTTATTTGTTTTCAGAGAAAGGGGAAGGGAGAGAGAAAAACATCAATGTGTGGTTGCCTTTTTGAGTGCCTCCAGTTGGGGACCTGGCCTGCAACCCAGGCATGAGCGCTGACTGGGTATTGAACTGGCGACCCTTTGGTTTGCAGGCCAGCACTCAATCCACTGAGCCATACCAGCCAGGGCTAAATTATTAAATAGGAAACAACTTCTTACAAAAACTACTATTTTTAAACATTTTTAAAAGATCTTATTTTTAGAGAGGGGAAGGGAGAGAGAGAGATGTTAATTTGTCCCACTTATTATGCATTAATAGGTTGATTCTTACAGATGCCCTGACTAGGTATTGAACCCACAACCTTGTGTGTCGGATAGATGATCTCACCAACTGAGCTACCTTCATGTGATGTAAAAGAACCTAAACATGGGTCAACTTTCATTATAGATATGTACTTCATTTTTCTAAATATAATCCCTAAATATGTTTCTACTCTCATTGTAACAGAACCACTGTGGGTTCTATTCCTTTGGGTTCTATTGCCTGACACCAAAGAAACCCATGACTCAATGTCAGTCTTCTGAAAAGGAAGGGAATTATTTAAAAACGATACAGTTTAAGAATAATGGAAGAATTGTGTCATTAAATCACTCCCTCTTAGAAACAAAAAAGCACCCACAAACACACCTCTTGCCTCCAAGCCAGTCAGGAGTACTGTGTCTCGGGAAGTTCAGTAGAAGTCTGTAGCTTAGCTGGGCTGATTCCGGTCTGTATTCCAGCTTCTTCCAGTTGTCCCTGTTTGACTAGGTGCCTACTCTTAATCCAAACTGCAAGGCACTTCCTCATGGTGGATGGGCAAGGACCTTTTGCATCCTTGCAAACCGTGTGGGCCAAGACCCTGCTCAGCTATTACATGGTCAAGAGTCTTCTTCCCAAGCGAATGGCAGTCCCACACTTTCGTTTAAATCCCAGCATGAATCTTCCCCTTTAACCCCATTTCTGACTCTTCCCACAGACTTACTTCTGCCTTTTCCTGTATTTCCTGCTTTTCTGGCTGCTGCTGTTAGCCCAGGAAGGCATGGCCCATGACATAGGAGCCGCCTCCAAGCAGGCACAGCAAGCCCCTCCAGCTGCGTTATACGGTAGAGTCACACCCATCTCCCTGGCTTAGAGTGGGGGCAGGCACAGCTACTTAACATTACTGAAACACTTGCCAATTTCTGTGGATATTGAAAACTGTTGATGGCCCTGCTCCACTTCGCCTTCCCCCAGCCGTGTTAGTGGGAGTTTTTCTGTTTTGGGACCCCGATATTCCCTGTTGCATTATCACATGGAAATCTCATACTTATTATCTCACCTATAAGTATGTGACTCACAAGTTCTGTTATGATAATTAAAATCCCATTTACACACTAATGTCAATTCTCCCAATTTTTCAATAATTAATTTTCCTTAATTTGTATTTAAATTACAGAGGAATATACTTCCATATATGTTGTATTATGCATCTTTTTTTATTTTCAAAGGTTTGTCCTACCTCCTTTGAGATATTCGTCATATGTATGATGGGGTAACTAGGTTACTTGCCTGGTAAAATTTCCCGTGTTCTCCATGTGGGCATATTCTCTTTATTGTGATGTGATTTATTGAGCTTCAGAAATAATGCTCTTGCATCAACAGGAAGGTAAGACCCTCCACCTGCAAAAAATTGCATGCAACACTACACGGAGGTCTAGATAAAAGTTTGCATTTTTTACTCAATTGAGTATTTTTAAATTAAGGCATATATTGTTGTTTACATAGTTGACAAGGCAGGAGATAGGAAGGAGGAAACTCCAGAGGTGCCCCAGGGCTAAGATAAAGAACAACCATAACGGCCTGAGAGCGGAGACCCTGTTCTAAGACTAGTAGTTCCTGGTTTTTGGAAAAGCATTGAATCCTAGTGAATCAGGCATGCACCTGCGCAGAAGATGCTACCTGACCCCTGCTTCATTATAATATCATTGTAACAAATTAGCATTGTGGGGCCCTCTTTCCGGTAACCAATCAAGGAAATCATGGGAGACCACGTGCGCAGTAACTTTAAAATAATATAACTACTTGTACATGCGCAATAAAAGCCCACCCAAACTAGCAAGGAGGGTCCCACCCTAACAGAATAAGAGCCCTCTCTCTAGCCCCTGAGATCAGGGCTGTTAGGCTCTGCTCGGCTCTGCTCCCATGTTCTGTGTGGCTTAATAAATCTGCTTTCTCTCGCTTTCTGATATAAACTCTGTGTGTTCGATTCAATTTTTTGTCCACGATCACCAAGAACCTGGTTACCTGTGCCCACCTGTGAGACAGTGATATTGCACATTTAATAGACTATATCATGCACGAAGAAACCAACAAATTAATGTGAATAGCTTTGTTGGCATATTCAGTTTTTAGTTTGGAACTTAACATACAATTTCTGGGCTGAATTCCTGTAATTGCATGTCTTTGATGTCTTCAACATGTACTCCATTGTTTGCAAAAAGCATATAATTTCAGTCAGAGGCATTCGATCGAATCAGTGTGAACTCTAGTCATATAGCTGCTCAGACAGAGCTAAGACTTCTCGCTGCATCAGGCACAGATGCGCTTAAGTATTAGACTATGTTTTATTACATTAGCTTTGCATTGTGCGTCCAACTGAAGCAGGGTAGGTAGCATTAGGGACTTGCTCAACTTCCCTCAATCACGTTCTACTTGAAGGAGCCACATACCAGATGGTTTGCATCAAGAAGAGACAGGATGCTTGGAGGTCAGAAAAAGGAGATCCTTAAGAAAGATATGCAAAACTAGCAGCTTAAAAATTAAAATAAAACAAAATAAAATAAAGGCCTTGCAGGCACACCAGAGACTATCTCGCCCAAGAAGTGGTGCCCGTTGCGGGGCTATAGAGCGCATTTAGTATTCTCAATATATTCTTGGGGTCCACAGATCCACTCCTAGAGTTACCTGGCGAAACACAGGCCCCCAGTCGTGGAGTGTAAGAACTACAGTACCCAGAAGGCAGACGGGGAATACCGGGACAGTGAGCCAAAGAACGCTCGCTAAAGGCATTTCCGTTTGGTCACGAGAGTAGGGCGGGACTTCCGTCAGCCGTGGCGGGCATTTCCTCTACTCCCGGTTTCTGTTATAGCGGAGTCAGGATCTTGGATCTTAAGATCAAATGGAAAAGGTGGGAAAGTAATGGTCCCCGCAGCATGTGTGATGCCAGGTGATGCTGCCAGGGAGCGAGGCGCCAGGGCCCAGGCAGGAGCCCCCCGTACCAGGGACCCCTTCCGTGCCCGCCGCTCCGGCCCCGCTCCGCCCACCGAGTCCGATGGCGGCAGCCGCGTGGAGGCGCCCGGCTGAGGTGAGTGCGCGGCCCGGGGCCCTCCCCTTCAGTCCCCTGAGCCCTGCAGCCGGGGAGTGGGGCGTCCGGGACAGCGAGACGCTGATGAGTTTGCGAAAGGGTGACCCGCCGAGGGGTCGCCCTTCAAGCACGTGCAGGGGCGCCTGAGCCGGGAGGACCCGGGCACCCGGGGTCCTTCGTGTGTCTGCATGAAACGGTGTGAATGGGAACCGCGTCTTGACTGGGACCAGCCGAAGGGCTGTCCGCTCTGAACGGGGGGCGGGGGAGTGGGGTGTTGAGGGTGGGGAAGTTTTGCATAGGCTAGGATTGCGGGGTCTCAGACAGGCTGTCCCGGATTCATTTGTATTCATTCTGACAGGTTAGGGTGACCTTTGAGGATGTCGCCGTGTATTTCTCCAGGACAGAATGGAGCCTCCTTGAGGAGGCTCAGAAACGCCTGTACCTACATGTGATGCTGGAGAACTTTGCCCTTATTTCCTCACTGGGTAAGGCCCTCCCTCTCTCCCGGTGACTATGACTAGGGTTTGCATTTCCCCCACGTCCTCTGTTCCCTAGGGCGCCCTCCGTCCTCGCATGTGGACGGTGGGCATTGCTTCCTTCTCCAGTTTCCTAGGCAGATCCTGGACTTGGCAGCGCTGGTTTGCTTTCACTGCCCCCTTCTCTCCCTGTCGCCCCAGTATCTCCTCTACGGAACCCTCAGAGAGAAGCATTTGTGGGTGGTGGTCTTGCAGGGAACCAGATTCCGCCTTGATTAGTGAGGAAATGCATTTTTTTTTGTATTCCTGTTGGTCATTTGTACATACTTTTTGGAGAAATGTCTCTACATCCTTAGTCTTGCTTTTAATTATGTTTTTGGGCGAATGATTAGTCTTTTTCTTTTAATTTTTACTTACCGATTTTTAAAGAGAGAGAGAAAAACATTCATTTGTTGCTCCACTTATTTATGATTGATTCTTGTGTCCGTTCTCACTGAGACTGGGATCCTGAAACTTCGAGTATCAGAACATTTGCCCTAACCAACTGAGCTCCCCGCCAGGCCAGGGTGGGCTAGTAAGTCCTTTGAATACCTTGTATATTTTATAAATTTCTCATCTGATTCAGGTGCATGTCTTTTTGCACTTTGCTTTATTGTACTTTGCAGATATTGTGTTTTTCTACGAATTCAATATTTTAGGAAACACTTCAGTGAGCACATCTACTGCTGCCATTTTAATAGCAAGCTCAGATACTGCTTAGCAGTTTCCAGCAATAAACTAGTTTCAATTAAGTTATGTAGATTTTTTTTAGACAAGCTATTGCGTGAGTAGACTGCACTGTAGTATACACGTAACTTTTTTATTCGCTGGAAAGAAAAAAATTGTAACTTTTTTTCTGTATGGCAATATTTGCTTTATTGTGGTGCTCTAAACCTAACCAGCAATACCTCCAAGGGATACCTTTACATGGTTTCTAAGTACTTCTTCCCATCCTGTAGCTGACTTTCATTTTGTTAATTGCTGTTGTGCTGTTCAGAAGGTTATTTGTTTTTTGTAGCTAGGATTTTTCATTTTTGCTCTTTGCGTGTCACTTCAGGGAAATTATTTCCTATACAGATTTCCAAAGCTTTTTCTCTAGGTTGTCTTTTTTCTTTTTTTAAGATTTTATTTATTTTAGAGAGAGGGGAAGGGAGGGAGAAAGGGAAACACCAATGTGTGGTTGACTCTCACGCGCCCCCTACTGGGGACGGAGCCAGCAATCCAGGAATGTGCCCTGACTGGGAACAGACCCGGTGACCCTTTGCTTCGCAGTCCGGCGCTCAATCCGCTGAGCCACACCAGCCAGAGCTCTCTAGGTTGTCTTGAAGGAGTTTTAGGGTTTTAGGACTGACATTTAATTTTTTATTATTTTGGAACTAATTTTTATCGGTGGTGCCCAGGTTACTTTGCTCTTTGAGGCCTTTTCAGGTTTCCTACAATGTCATGATTCTTTTTAAAAAAAAATTTTTGTGTGAAACACTGTTGGAATTGTGATTGAGATTGCGTTTAATCTGTAGATTGCTTTGGAGAGCATAGTCATTTTAACAATATTAAATTTTGAAATCCAAGAACACAGGATTTCTTTATATTTATTTGTGTTTTCTTTAACTTCATTCATGAGTGTCTTACAGGGTGCAATGTACAGGCCTTTCATCCCTTTGGTTGAATTTATTCCTGAGCCTTTTATTGGTTCCAATGCTGTTGTAAATTTGGTTACATTCTTAATTTCTCTGCAAAGCTTTTATTGTTATTATAAATACGGAACTAATGTTTGAATGTTTGCTCTGTATCCTGTATTTTTACTGAATTTATTAAGTTCAGAAGTTTATAGTGGAATGTTGACAACTTTCTGTATGTTTGGTCATGTCATCTGCAGATATCTCTTATATTGCTTTGTGGTTCATAGTGTCAAGTGTAATGTCTCATCTTTAATTTTTTTTTTATGGATTATGCTATTACAGTTGTCCCATTTTTTTCACCCCTTTATACACCTCTGCCCTGTACCCCCTTTCTCTCCAGCATTCCCCTCCCTTAGTTCATGTCCATGTGTCATACATGTAAGTTCTTTAGCTTCTCCATTTCCTATACTGTTCTTAAGCTCCTCCTGTCTATTTTGTACCTACAATTATATTTCTTATTCCTTTACCATTTCTCCCATCCTCGCACTCCCTGCTGATCTCCCTCCATAAGTTCTCCATTTCTATGATTCTGTTCCTATTCTAGTTGTTTCCTTCATTTGTTTTTGTTTTTTTAGGTTCAGTTGTTGATAGTTGTGAGTTTATCATTTTACTGTTCATAGTTTTGATCTTCTTTTTCTTCAATAAGTCTCTTTAACATATACTAAGGGCTTGATGATGATGAACTCCTTTACCTTTACCTTATCTGGGAAGCACTTTATATGCCTTTTCATTCTAAATGATAGCTTTGCTGGATAGAGTAATCTCGGATGTAGGTCCTTTTCATGAGTTTGAATACTTATTTCCAGCCCCTTCTTGCCTATAAGGTTTCTTTAGAGAAATCAGCTGATAGCCTTATGGGAATACCTTTGTAGGTAGCTCCCGTCTTTTCTCTTGCTGCTTATAAGATTCTCTCCTTATCTTTAATTTTGGATAATTTACTTATCATGTGCCTTGGTGTGTTCCTCTTTGGGTCAAACTTCTTTGGGACTTTCTGAGCTTCCTGGACTTGAATGTCTATTTCCTTCACCAGATTGGGGAAGTTATCCGTCATTATTTTTTCAAAAGATTTTTCAATTTCTTGCTCTTCCTTTCCTCTGTCTGGCATCCCTATGATTTGGATGTTGGAACGTTTAAAACTGTCCCAGAGATTCTTAAGCCTCTCTTCATTTTTTAATTAGTTTTTTAATTTTCGTTTCTTTATTCTGTTCCCTGTGAAGGTTCATTTCTTCCTTCTGTTCCAAAGTGTTGATTTGAGACCCAGTTTCCTTCCCTTCCCTGCTGGTTCCCTGTATATTTTTCTTTATTTTACTTTGCATAGTGTTCATTTTTTCCTCTATTTTGTGGCCGTACTCAGTCATTTCTGTGAGCATCCTGACTACCAGTGTTTTGAACTCTGTATCTGATAAGTTGGCTATCCTCATCGCTTAGCTCTTTCTCTGGAGTTTTGATCTGTTCTTTCATTTGGGCCATATTTCTTTGTCTTCCCCAGCTATTACATTGTAAGGGGTGGAGCCCTAGGTTTTCACCAGTCCAGGGCAACCCACTTTGCTGTGTTATGATACTGTATGTGGGGAGAGGTCATAGAGGGAACAGTGCCACTTGCTCAGCTCTGGCCCCCCTTCCAGTTACTTCCCCTGCTACCCACAAGTGAGTTGTGCCCTTCTGGTGATGATTACCAGGTGGGTAGGTTTGTTTATATTCTGGTACCCAATGTGCTCCTCCATTGGACTTTCCTGTGAAACTGACAGTTTCTCCTATCACCACAATCCCCATAGGTTTTTACAGCCAGAGGTTTTGAATCCCCCCCTCCCCAGCACTGGAACCCTGTGTTGCGCAGTCTGTCTCACCTCCCCAGTTGTTCTCCTGGTTTATCTGCACGTGAATGTGGGACTGCCTGGTTTGCCAGCTGCTGCCTTGCCACATGTCCTCTTCATTTTAGCTACCTGTTTACACCCCTCCTACCAGTCTGAACGAATGTTTCTTTAACTCCTTGGTTGTCAGGCTTTGTGCAGTTCAATTTTCTGGCAGTTCTGGTTGAGTTTTTTTTTTTAATTGGTTGCTATCCTTTTCATTGTGTGAGGAAGCTAAGTATACCTACCTATGCCTCCATCTTGGCTGGAAGCCTTATTTCTTTTTAAATACATTTGAGTCTTGTTTCTTTTGTTTAGTGTAGCTAAAGATTTGGCAATTTTGTGCATATTTCAAAAATAGCTCTTAATTATGATATTCTTTTGTTTTTGTTTTTCTTGCCTTTATTTCATGTATGACTTTTCTAATATTTATTGTGTTTTTCCTTTACTAACTTTGGGTTTAGTTTCTTCGTGTTTTTCTGGGTTCCTGAGGTGCAAGTTTAGGTTGTTTATTTGAAGTTTTGTCTTAAGGTGGGCATTTATCACTACAAAATTTGTTGTTAGAATTGCATTTTCTGCTCCAAGTACATAAGCTTTGGTATGTTGTGTTTTTATTTCCTTTGCCCCTAGATATTTTTTTAGTTACCTGTCATTTTTTTTCTTTGATCCTCTGGTTGTTCAGAATGTAGTGTTTAATTCCATCATATTTGTGAATATTCTAGCTCTCTCAACACTAAAATTCATTTGTTGTATTCTACCACTGTGGTCAGATAAGACACTTGAAGTAATTTGCTCTGAAATTTTGGGACTTGTTTTTCAATCCAGCGTAAGATCTACTTAGAGATTGTTCCATGTGCACTTGACAAAAATGTATCTTCTGCTGCATTTGGATGGAATGTTCTGTATAAATATACGAATTCTGTTTGTTATAAAGTGTGGTCAAGCTTTAGTAATTCCTTAGTGCTTTTAGATGGGTGATCTAGTTATTGTTGAAAGGGGAATATTGAAATTCACTACCAATATTGAACTAATACTGGGCTTCTTTTATATGCCTTCACTTCTGATATTATTTGCTTAATATACTTAATATATGTTATTGGATCTTAATACTTAAAATTGTCCTCTTGGTGATTTGACTCCTTTATCATCCTGTGATGACCTTTATCTTTTGTGACAATATTTGAGGTAGTCTATGCGTGGGATAGAATTTCAGCTACTCCTGCCCTTTTTGGTTTTATTTCCAAGGAATATGTTTTCCTGTTTTTGTTTTCAGGTTATTTGTGTCTGTAAAGGTTTAGACCCTAGCTGGTGTGGCTCAGTGGATTGAGTGCCAGCCTGTGAACCAGAAGGTCGCTGGTTTGATTCCTGGTCAGGGCACATGCTGGGTTGTGGACCAGATCCCCAGTAGGGAGCTGTCAAGAGGCAACCACACATCGATTTTCTGCCTCTTTCTCTCTCCCTTCCCCTCTCTAAAAATAAGTAAAGAAAATATTTTTTAAAAAGTTTAATAAAAGGTTTAGGGAGTCTCTTACAGGCAGCATATATTGTGTTTTATGGTTTGTTTTTAATCTCTTCAGTCACTCTGTCTTTTCAATGGAGAACTTGTTGTGGAGCCTACTATTGCCACTTTATCGTTGGTGTCTGGCTCGTTTGTAGTGTGTTTGTTTATCTCTGTCACTCTTTTCCTTTGTGATTTCATCATTTTTTATAGTGGTATGATTAAATTTCTTTCTCTCTTGTGTATCTGTTACCTAGGTATTTGCTTGTGGTTTCCAAAAAACTTACATTCAACAACTAATTCACTCAACACTCTATTTTCTCCTGATGGCAACTTCAGTTGCATACAAAATTCTGCCCTTTGACTCCTCACCACACCACCCTTTTATATGTTTTTGATGTCACAATTCACATCTTTTTATGTTGTATATCTATTAAGGTGCAAAACAAAAACAACAGCTTTGTTGTTTTTACTAGTTTTAATTTTTCACCTTTAGAATAGAGTTTAGTAATGTACATTCCATCAGTGTGGTGTTGCACTGTTGTGAATTTGATTCCACTCTCAGATTTAGCAGTGAGTTTTATACTTTTTTTATGTATTCATGTCTCTGTTAAGTATTCTTCGATTTCAGCTTGAAGAACTTCCTTTTACATTTCTAATGAGTCGAGTGACAGTGAACTTCCTCAGCTTTTATTTGTCTGGGAATTTCTTACTTGTAAAGAACAGGTTTTCTGAGTAAATATTGTTAGTTTGCATGGTTTTTTCTCTTATTGTTTTCAACATATCATTGTTTCTTCTAGTCTTCAAGTTTTTTTCAGAAAAATTTACTTTATAGCATTATGGATGTGTTCTTTCTGTGTGTATGGGTGTGAGAGCTGTGTCAGTACTTTTTGTGCTTTGAAAATTTTCTTTGCTTTGCATTTTTGACATTTTTAATACAGTGTGTCTTGTTGAAATGCTCCTTCCATTAAATTGTATCAGCACCTGTGAGAAAACCATGAACTTGATTTTATTGCCATGTCTTTTCAGATTGGGAAAGTCAGTCTTCAAAATATTTTTTTATAAACTTTCAGCAATTTTTTTTCATTCTCTCACATTTTTCTTTCAATGTTCCAGCGGCTCCTGTGGTTCCTAATAACAAAGTTTCTTAGGGTTTCTCTCACTAGGGTCAGTGGTACCACAAGCACAGAGGCTAATAGAGGTAACTTCGACCCTTCTCTTATGTGCTTCGCCATATGCACATAACTTTGCTCACCCAGTCTTCTTAGTCAATATTTCTGAGTATTTCTCTATTTTTTTGCTTTTCTGCTTTGTTGTTTGGCTTAATAAACTCTTATTCCCCTCCTCCAGGACTGTTTTTTTCATGGATAGCTGTGTACTTGCTTATGGAATGTGGATAAATTCTCCTATCTCCTATTCTGCTACTGTGATGATGTTACTCAAGACATCTTTTTTGCTGGGTCTGTTTTGTGCTGTCTTGTTATACCATAGTGCTTACCGTCCATCTCTTCAGTTTCTCTCTTAGGATTTCTTCTTCCGAATCCCATGGAATGGCTCAACGGAGAGTTGAGGGGAAGTCATTTGTGTGTCACAGGAGGGGCATGACTCCATCCATGGCTGTGTGGGCTCAGAAGGGGTTTTGACTTGAATGGCAACGGGTGAGGGCTTGATGCCAGGGCTTTATTAAGGTTATAGCTAGGAACCCATTTATTTAACAGTATTTTGTTAACATTATTGATACCACACCTTACTCTACTTGTCCTTGCCTATTGTTGATACTTTTCCAACTACTCAGTCCTAATAGTTATCATTTCTCCTAGGATTCACAGTTTATGAATAATCTCCATTTTTCTGAACCTTTCACCTCAACCATTTTGCTCACACATCTCTTGCTACTGACCTCCAAACTTGACCTATGCCTGCAGAGCCTCGCAGTGTGCACATATTCTTCTGTCTTTGAATGCTATTTTTAATACTCACCAGTGGATATGTGTATTGATTTTAGAAAGAGGAAGGAAAAGATATATAGAAAGAGGTGTAAGAGAGAAATATCAATCGGTTGCCTCTCGCATGCACCCTGACTAGGGGCAGGGATTGAACCTGCAACCTAGGTATGTGCCCTGACCAGGAATCAAACCTGTAACCTTTTGGTTTACGGGACAATGCTCCAACCAAGTAAGGTACATCAGTCAGGGCTCACGTATTCTTACACTGACATTGAACGTCATGTGCTGTGATACAGTTGATTTTTATGGGTTTGGGCACATTCAGCTTCCTCACAGTCTCTCATCAGCAGAAAGGTCCTACAGGAAGCCATTTGAAGAGGAACAACTAGTAGGCCCTGCCTCTTTTCTTCATTTCCCATTCTATGTGTGTGTCCTTTTTGTTTGTTTGTTTGTTTCTGAGTTTGTCCTTAATAGCTTTTTAAAAATTATTTTATTGTATTTTTTTCCATTATCATTTAGTCCCTTGGATACCCCTCTTCCCCTGACAATCACCACACCATTGTCCATGTGCGTGAGTCCTTTTTCCTTTTTGCTCAATTCCTCCACTCAAACCTTCCCCCGCTTAGCTGTCATCCTACTTTCTATCTCTGTGCTGTCTCTGTTTTCCTTGTTAGTTCAATTTGTTCAGTAGATTCCACAAAAAAAGGAAATCATATGGTATCTGACTGGCTTATTTCACTTAGCATAATGTTCTTCAGCTCTATCCATACTGTCACAATGGGTAGAACTTTCTTCTTTTTTATGGCCGAGTAGTATTCCATTATGTAAGCATCCCATAGTTCTTTTATCCACCCATCTACTGGTGGATACTTGGGCTGCTTCCATATCTTGGTGATGGCAAATAATGCTGCAGTGAACATAGAGATGCTTATGTTCTTTCAAATTCGTGTTTTGGGTTCCTTCGGATATGTTCCCTGCTTGTGCCTTTTTTGATGAAATCTTTACCATTTACTGACCTTTGGGGCCAAGCAACAATAACAGGCATTTCCTCAGAGTCTTAACTCCTTGTCTTGAAAATCATCCCATAGAATCATGCCTTGCTTTGCAAGGCGGACATTTGTTTTGGGAATATTCTTTTTCTATTAAGTCAGTATCAAATTCACCAGTGTTTATTTTTATTTAGGTTGCTGCTGTGGAGTAGTGGATGCGGAAGATCCCACTGAGGAGAACCTTCCTGTAAGAATGTCTCAGGCAAAGAATCCCAAGGAAGCTTTGTCTTCCCAGAAGAGCCATCCCTGTGAGAGTTGTGAGTGTGTCTTGAGAGGCATTTTTCACTTGGTTGACCAGCAGGGAACACAGCAGAGACAGAAACTGCTGAGGTGTGGAGCATGTGCAAAACAATTTTATTTCATTGCAAAGCATCACCAGCACCAGGAGCAGCACTCGAGAGAGAAGCCTTTCGCACGAGGTGTGGACAGGGCCTCACTTGTGAAGGGCTGCAATTTCAATGTGTCCAAAAAGAATTTTACCTGCAGGGAGCTTGAGCAGAATGTTTTTACCAACTCAGGACATACCCAACAACAGGCTACACAGCCCAGGAAAAGAGCAAATGAAACGTCAACATCTGGGGAGGATTGTCAAAGGAGAAAACTTCATCACACAAGAAAAGAATGTAAGAAAGCCATTGGCTGCAAACACACACTTCTTCCAGATCAAGCTGTTCAATCTAAACGACGGTGTTATGCATGCCATGAATGTGAAAAATGTTTTCTAGGAATCTCTGGTCTTCGTTATCATCAGAAAGTTCACACAGGTGAAAAGCCATATGAGTGCAGTGAATGTGGGAAATCTTTTACCAGTGGCTCTGCCCTTCGTAAACATCACAGAGTTCACACTGGAGAAAGGCCTTACGAGTGTGGTGAATGTGGGAAATCTTTTACCAGTAGCTCTGCCCTCCATAAACACCAGAGAGTTCACACTGGAGAAAGGCCTTATGAGTGTGGTGCATGTGGGAAATGTTTTACTAGTAGCTCTGACCTCCTTTATCATCAGAGAGTTCACACTGGAGAAAGACCTTATGAGTGCCGTGTATGTGGGAAATCTTTTACCTGGAGCTCTGACCTCCGTAAACATCACAGAGTTCACACTGGAGAAAGACCTTATGAGTGTGGTGAATGTGGGAAATCTTTTACCAGTAGTTCTGCCCTCTGTTATCATCAGAGAGTTCACAAAGGAGAAAGGCCTTATGAGTGCAGTGAATGTGGGAAATCTTTCACTAATAGTTCTGCCCTCCGTAAACATCACAGAGTTCACACTGGAGAAAGGCCTTACGAGTGCAGTGAATGTGGGAAATCTTACATCAGTAGTTCTGCCCTCTATAATCATCGGAAAGTTCATACTGGAGAAAGGCCTTATGAGTGTGGTGAATGTGGGAAATCTTTTACCAGTAATTCTGCCCTCCGTAAACATCACAGAGTTCACACTGGAGAAAGGCCTTTTCAGTGTGGTGAATGTGGAAAATCTTTTACCAGTAGCTCTGACCTCCGTAAACATTACAGAGTTCACACTGGAGAAAGGCCTTATGAGTGCAGCGAATGTGGGAAATCCTATTTCAGTAGCTCTGCCCTCTACTATCATCAGAGAATTCATACTGGAGAAAGGCCTTATGAATGTGGTGAATGTGGGAAATCTTTTACCAGTAGTTCTGCCCTCCGTTACCATCACAGAGTTCACACTGGAGAAAAGCCTTATGAGTGCACTGAATGTGGGAAGTCCTTTGCATGTAGCTGTCACCTCTGTTAGCATCAGAGAGTTAACACAGAACTAAAGCCTTATGAGTGCAGTGAATGTGGGAAAGCATCTGTAACATAAATCTTCATTGCCATCAGAGTTCACATAGCAGAATGGCCTTATGGCTACAGGGAATGTGAGAGTTTGTTTTTTATAAGTACATTTTATTATCATCAGAGAGTTCACCCAGGGGAATGGCCTTACGCCTGTAGTGAATGTGGGAAGTCTTACCAGTAGCCATGGCTGTCATTGTTCAGAGAGTTCACAATGACTAAGTTCTTATATGTTAAGGAAATTTGGGAAACCTTTTATTTTCTAGTCATTTCCTTTGTTATCTTCTGAGAGCTGACACAGGAAAAAAGATTTATGTATGCAGGCAGTATGAGAAATATTTTTCTTGTAGCACTAAGCTCCATTCAGAGATTTAACTCTGGTGAAAGGCCTAATGAGTACAGTGGATATGGGAAATTCTTTTTCTATTCTTAATCCTGTGATCCGGGAGTTCACTCTGGAGTTTGGTCTTACGTAGACATAAAACGTGGGAAATTTCTAACCTCATAGGCATCACCACCTTAAACATACTTCACACTGGATAAAGGCTGTGAGTGTGACATAAATGTAGGAAATCGTTAACCATAAATCTGTACCTTTTTGAAATTGGAGAGTTCTCATTTTAAATGGATAGGTTTTAGGAATTTTTTTCCCCCCCAGTATAATGACACTTAAGAAAACTTGCTGAGGAAACAGTGACTTTAATCTTTTACCAGTGTTCTCGGTGCAGGCCTGTGTCATCAGTTTAACATTATGTTTCCAAGAACCTAACAAAGTATGATTAAACTAATGGTGTCTTTATGCATTCTTTTTGAACCTTTTTTAAAATCCTCCGAGAACATTTTATTTCACTGATTTAGAGAGAGAGGAAGGAAGGGAGAGAAACATTGATTGGTTGTGTGCCCAGACTGGGGATCACATTCATAACCTAGTTATGGCCCTGACAAAGAATCAAACCCGCAACCTTTCATCTTTCAGATAATGCTCCAACCGAGTCACAGTGGCTGGGGCCCTTTATGCATTTCCATTCTTACTATGAGGGTTGCATTTCCCTACTCTAGCAAAATCTTGAGTTCAATTTTTATTAATTTTAGCTCTTTCCCTGAGTGTGCTGTACTCTGTTGTTTTAGTTGTGTTTCCATAAGGATTCATAATGAGCATTTTTGCAGGAGTGTATGTACTATTGATGTGTTTTTAGTTAAATGTGTGCTCACATAACTTTCCTACTCCTTCATGATTTGGGCTACTCTGTAACAAATAGGACAGTGAAACAGCAAAGATATATGTTGCAATGTCACCCACTTTCACTCCTTGAATAAGTAATTTTTGCTTTTTGGAATTAATTGGTTTTAATAGTGGAAAATAATTACCTAATTATTGGGATTTTTTTGTACACAATGTAATAGGTACGTATCATAAACTTTAAATAATAATCTGCATTATTAATACGTCATCAACTTTGTAAGTTCATACATTTAGTAATATAATAAAAGGCCTCATTTTTTAGAATTCATCCATTTTTATGGTTTGTTGTCTGGGGTTCGCTGCCTGGAGCACAACCTGAAGGTACACCAGATTGTAAGAGAATGAATGGGTATTTGTTAATCCTCAGAGCCCTCCTGGAAGCTTAAGAGAAGAAGTCAATATTTAGACTCCTCATACCTTTGGCCAAGCAACTTGGTTTTAATCTTAAGATTATTGACCATGTTTATGATTAAAGGAACATAGTGCACTTAATGGGCCTGAGTTTCCTCCTGTGTAAAATAGGGGTAAACAGTTTTTATCCTGGCTCTGGTGCTATTTCAAAGGCAGTAGCTATACAACCAGTTATCCCCTTTGGGTCCCATGTGCAGGCCAGACACCGTCTGAGACCTCCTACCTTGGGTGCTTGTGAAAAATAAAAGGAGCTTCTTTATTCCTCCATATCAGCTGCAGTCCACACCACGGGAAAGTATGCCTTCAGGGCTCCTAGGTCACTGTGTGGATTCCCCAGTGGGGCATCTCTGAGTGACCATAAAACTCCAAACTCACTTCACTACTTGAAATTAGTAAAGGCACCAACCATGGCACTTTGAGAATCAATAGAGGTAACAAAATTCAGTAAACACTTCTGGGTACTAGTATTCCAGAGTTTGCTTTTTGATTTAATTCAACTGCATCCTGTGGTTTAAAAACTTACTGTGTTTCTGGAGAAATCAAGGGTCAAGAAAAAGGTTTTTTCAAGGTCACAGCAGACAAATGTCAGATCCAAATGTTAGATTGAGACTCGTAAGTCTTGTGGTAGAACTGGGGACAATTCCCTGTTCGGCATTTCACAGCAAAGACGAGTGAAATGAGAAAATCAGCTGTTGCTGTTTTCATTGTTGCAATTATGAATTTTCCGCATTTCTCTCTCTCAGAATGCTTAACACCTTCCACTCATGGAAACCCTATCTGTCATTTTCAGCGGTCTCTTCAGGGGAAACTACTTTGAGCCTTCACTGCATTTTGTCTGCTGCCTTTCTAACCTTAGCACACAGCTTGACAATAAGGAGACCCAGGTGATTCAGGGCTGGGTCTTTCTGCTCCTTCACTTACCGTTTGCATGACAGGCTTTGATTTTATCCACTGTGGTGAATGTGGTACCTCAGTTTGACCCTTCAAGTGTTTTTGGTACATGTCACTGACATGCACTCTGCAACATTGAGGACAGCTAGATGTGATACCTGGGACATACTCAGAAGTGATGCTGGAGACCTACAGTATTGTTCTCTCCCATGTGGAGTGTTCACCTGTTCTTCATACAGGAAACTCAGTGCCCCTTTGATCCTGTACTGTGTCAGGACTGCCTGGTGCTCACCATCTATTCCCTGTGGCCCTGATGTTCAGCAGCCACATCTTCCTTTCCAGTGTCCCTGTGTCTGCACCAGAGATCTTGGGGTAGAAACAGGCACTCTGCACAGAAACCCTCATCCACTGCCCAGTGCACTCAGGCCACAACTGAGATTCTTACTCCTGATTGCTTGAGACGGGTCAGATGGCCAAATCAGGTCGAATCAATGTCTCTACAGCCCAGTTAGCAGAGTTATAGCTCGTGGGCTTTTTCAGAGAAGAGTGTGATATGTACTCTCAGAGAGACGGAGCATCCTTGGTGATATTTGCAATCTGCCTCCATGACATTTTTATAATCAACGCAATCCATTTAAAGGCATCAGGTGGCATGCGTGTACACTCTGAAAATTTACCCTTTTTCACTTGTCACTCCCTCCTCACTACTGTCAATAGAATGTTTTGGGTTAGTGCTGAATCTCTAAAGCCCTTCTAAGTGTTAATGATTTTCCATTTTCAACAGAAGGAGCAGCTCCGAGCAGCCCTTGTAGGTGACTTCAGACTTTAGAGCATTATTTTGATATCATTGCATTTTCATGGTAACCTATCACTTAGTTGTAAGTCAAACTGTTTTTCAGTCATTGGAGAGTTACAAGTTCACTTTTTAGTATTCAATCTATATGAGAAAAATAAAGCGTAGGTCGTATTAAAAAGAATACCATTGTGCAGCTGTGCAGCTATGGTCCCCTAAGCAGAGATGAGGTATCAGTTCATTTGGAGGCTTAGTTCAAACTCTTCCTATTCAATTTATCATCCCCATCCTTTAGCTTTAAGTTTCTTTAAATGCTTGATTATATCACTATTTGTATTTTACATTTGATAAGTTTTTCAAGTGTGTCTTGGTGTCCCATTAAATATAATTCCTGAATGTGTTCCTAAACCAATTGCACTGACAATGCCATACTTACCATGTCACCTATAAATCATGTCTGTAACTCACAAGTTCTCTTTCGTTATGATATCTACAATACCATTTTCACATTAACTGAAATACGAATAACTTTGTCAGAATTTATTTCTGCCAGTTTTTCAACAATTTCCTTTTTGATACTTAAGTTATAAGTAAATAAACACCCTTTTATGGTTATATTACGCATTTCTTTATTTCCAAAAGTGTGTCCTATATTCTGATGATACATTTGTCATATGTATGATGGGGCAACTAGGTTGTTAATCTAGTAAAACTTAACAGATTTTCCCATGTGGGCATACCCCCCTTTATTGAGCCTGAGAGGTAATGCGTTCTCTTCAACAGGAAGGCAAGACACTACCTGCAAAAAGATTGCATGCCACTTAACGAAGGCACAGATAATGATTTGCCTTTTGTAATCAATAAAGTATTTTTACAGTATGGTATGTATATTTTCATTTTGTGCTAGTGCTACTGCATATTTAATAGACTACGATATGTACCGGGGAACAAACAACAGAGTAACTAGCTTTTTTAGCATAGGCGGTGGGTGTGGACCTATACGTGCAATTTCTGGGCTGAATTTAATGACTTGTGATTGCATGTCTTTGATGTCTTCAACCTGTACTCCATCAAAAAAAAAAAAAAAAAAGTAACAAGTCTGAGGCATCCAATCAAATCAATGTGGACTCTAGTCACACGGCTGCAGAAGCAGAGAGAAGACTTTTGGCTGCATGAGGCACAAAGGCACTTAAGAATTAGTGTATACTTTTTATATTAACTTTGCAAAGTGGGTTCAACGGATGCAGGATAGAAATCCTCAGGGACTTGAGCAACTTCCCCCAACCACACTAGACCTGAAGGAGCCATTTGTCATATGGCCTGAATCAAAGGCCTTGCAGGCATATCACGGACTTCCTCGCTTAAGAAATGATGTTCACTAGGGCGCCGCAGAGGACACTTAGTATTCTCTACATTCCTGGGGTGTCTGTCCGCAAATCCACTCCTGGAGACAGCTGTGGAAATACAGGATCCCGGCCTTGGAGTGTAAGAACTACATTACCCAAAAGTCAGGCGTGGAATAGCAGGACGATAACCCAATAAACACTCAGAAAAGGCATTTCCTTTTGCGCCCCCACTGTGGGGCGGGACTTCCGTGGATGTTCGTGGCTGGCATTTCTGTTCTCTCAGTTTCATTATTACATGGTCAGTGTCTTGTGGCCAGAATATCGAGAGTAGGAGGTGCCAGAGTGCAGGTCCCCGCATCAGGTGTGCGGGACAGCGACGCCGCTCGGGTGTCCAGCGCCAGGGTCTGGACAAGCACGCCAGCCCCCAGGGCACCCTCCTGGCCCGCCGCTCCCGCTCCGCCCACGGAGCCCGATGGCGGCGGCCGCGCAGAGGCGCCCGGCAGAGGTGAGTGCGAGGCCGCGGGCCCTCCCCCCTCAGCCCGCCGAGCCCGGCAGCCCGGGTGCGGGGCGCCCGTCACGTCCTGCAGACCAGGCCCCGGCGTCCGGGACGTGAGGGGCTCGTGGGTGGGTGACTCAGTGTGACGCGGTGGGAGAGGGTGACGCGCTGAGAGGCCGACTGCGATCGCTGAACCTCCCACGCCCCGGCCGCTGCTCCTGCCCCGGCAGGTTCCTAAAACTTGCCCGTGTCAGGCGACCTTCAGGCCCTTGCCTGGCCCAGGAAGGTTTGAAGGACACATCGGTGTGAGACGGAAGCAAGTTTTATTCAGGTATTAAAAAGAGAGAAAAGAAAATAGAGGCCAGTGTGGGCGCCTCTGTGAAGGAAACACAACGAGTGCCTCCGAGTGGACGCGGGGCCACGGGAGAGGCAGGAGCGAGTGCTGAGATAGGTCTTGGGGTTTTACCCGTTTTCACGGGTGGGGGCTTTGTCTCCCAGTTTTGCGGTGCCAAGTTCTGAGCGGGCCTTCTTGGTTGGGAGGGGTCCTTGTAGGTTTCATCGTGATGGACGCAGGGGCTTCCTGCCTTTGAGCGTTACCCTTTGCTGGTGCCCAGAGGTAGGGGCTCTGGTAGGAGGAGCCGGGCTCCTCTTCCTCCTTCCACTTGTCAGGGTTTTTCCCTAATTTCTTTCTGTCCTGCCTCCGTTGTGCTAGATCATTCTGACGTATCTGAGCACCCTCTGGAAGCCCTGTGCTGAGTTCACGGGTGATTTCAGAGAGATGCCTGTGGTGTGGAGCAGGAGGTGGCAGAGCGGAGGCAGAAAATCTGGGTGTGAACATGTGAAACAGGTAGAGATCACAGCTAGGGGATGTGTGAGCTGATGGTCCTGCGAACCTGGTGTGGGGATTTAAGGGGGAAGTATGAGCTCATGGTTGGCTGTGTCTGAGAGGCGTGGTCTGGGAGACTCAATGGAATCGCTGGGCAGGAGGAACGGAGCCCTGCAGGCCTGGACCTGAGCATAGATGCTAATGATCTGCTGCACATCCTGTCTTTGCTGCCGTTGCTGAGGTGATAGGAGTGAGTAATGAGACTGTGATGAAACAGCAGAGGCAACACTGGGGCCAAGGGCTGTTGTCTTCTCTGAACTGCTGGGAGTCCTGGAGGGGTCTGGGTGTCATAAGCTTTATGTGGAGTAGAATTGGAGGGGCCTCAGACATACTGTTCTGGATTCATTTGTATTAATTTTAACAGGTTGTCGTGACCTTTGAGGATGTCACCGTGTATTTCTCCAGGACAGAATGGCGCCTCCTTGATGAGACTCAGAGACTCCTGTACCTTGATGTGATGCTGGAGAACTTTACTCTCATATCTTCACTGGGTAAGACACTCAGTCTCGTAGTGCGCTTTTCTTTGGCTTGCCTGCGCCCCCTTTTCTTCAGGCTTGTAGTTGCTGCTGCTTTTCTAAGCTCCAAGGTCCTGAGCAGACTTGTACTCAGGAGGCAGTGGACAGCAGTAGCTTGTCTTGAGCTCACCCCTGATCCTGTCTCCAGAGGTCCTTCTTTTTGCCTCATTGCCCCAAATTTTAATAAACTAACTCTCATTTAAAAAAAAAAAAAAAAAAAAAGGAAAACGAGGACCTAATATTCACCAGTGACCTGGACTAGGCTTTGTATTTTCCATGCCCTTCATTACTGAGGGGTTGCTCTGTCCTCATATACAGACTGTGTACACTGTTAGCTTCCCCAGTTTTCTGCGTAGATCCTGGACTTGGCAGGGCTGGTTTGTTCGCACTGCCCTCTACTCTCCCTGCTGCCCCAATACCTGCTGTAATGAACCCTCATAGGGATGGATTTGAGGTCATCAGTGTTGCCAGAAGCCTAATAGATTTCACATTGATAGATGAGGAAAATTATTTTTCATTTTCCTGTTGATAATGTGTGTGTGCGTGTGTGTGTATGTGTGTGTATTTTTAAATCTTCACCCAAGGATATGTTTAATGACTGTTAGAGAGAAAGGGATTGAGAGAGAGAAACATCAATGTGGCAGGAAAGCATCAAAGCATTGATCAGTCACCTCCCATTCTTGCCATGACTTGAGATTGAATCCACAAACTTTTGCCATACTGGACAACTCTCCAACTAACAGAGCCACCCTGCCAAGGCTGGATAAAAATATTTTGTGTATATTTATTAGCCTGCTTTCTCTAGAGGGTAGTCAAAATTTAATAATTCCTTATTGCTTTTGAACAGGATGATCTACCCATTGTTGAAAGGGGAATATTTTGTTGTCTAGTACTGCTGCATTGCATTTTCTGCCTTCAGATATCATATTGTTGGCTTAATGTACTTAAGTGCTCTGTGGTTGGGCGTACAGTAATGAAAATTATTGTTTTCTTAATAAATTCTCTCGTTTATCATTTTAGGTTGAACTTTTTGTCTTGTGGAAGTGTTTGAGCTTGTCTGTTTTGTCTGATACAATTTTCAGCACTCCTGTGCAATTTCATTTTATTTGTATGGAATATTTTTTACATCTCTTTATTTTCACTAAATTTTGTCCATGAACATTCAGTGAGTCTGTTGGAGGCAGCAGGTGTTGTGTCTTACGGATTTTTTTTTTTAAATACAAAAGAAGCCCAGCCAGGCCTCAAATTATTTCTTTTTTATAAATGTAAAAATTTTAAAGTTGACATACATTATAACGTTAGTTTCATGTGTACACCCCAATGACTAGACATTATATAACTTAAGTGATAATCCTGATAAATCTTGCACCCATTTGAAACCATACATAGTTATTAGAATATTAACTGTATTCCTTATGCAGTACTTTACATCCCCACGACTATTCTGTAACTGCCAATTTGTACTTTTTTTTTTTTAATTAATTTATTTACTTTTTAAATACATTTGTCTCTGCCTTCCCCCCACCTCTTTCCCTTGTACTTCTTAATCCCTTCACCCTTCTCACCTATCATGATAATTTTTATAAGAATTGATTTGAGCCAAACTGATGTCAATGGCCAAAAATCAAAATTTCAGATGCTTTTGTGTCTTGTGCTTTTTTAATCCCTTCAACCACTTTATGTCTCTTGATTGGAAAATTTGTTGAAAGACCTACTATGGCCACTTTGTTATTGTTTTCTGCCTCTTTGGTAGTTCCTTATTTGTCTTCCACTCCTGGTGTCTTTTTTTGTGATTTAATCCTTTTCTATAGTGGTATGCCTTGATTCCTTTCACTTTGGTATTTCCAGTATATAGGATTGTGCTTGTGGTTTCCATTAAAACAACTTCCATAAAGCGACTCATACTCTTAACATATTATTGTAACCTAAACACAGCTTCAGTTGCATGCAAAAATTCTACCCTTGGCTCTCTGCCACACCAACCCCTTACATGTTTTGATGTCACAGTTCACATCTTTATATATTGTATGTCCACAAATTATTGTCACCATTGTTATTCTTTTTTCTGTGTTTTATTTCTTTTTTTAAAAAACAATTTTATTTATTTATTTTTAGAGATGGGAAGAGAGGGAGAAAGAGAGGGAGAGAAACATCAATGTGTGGTTGCATCTTGCGTGCCCCCTTCTGGGGACCTGGCCCGCAACCCTACACTGGGAATCAGACCAGCAACCCTTTGGTCCTCAGGCCGGCGCTCAATCCACTGAGCCACACCAGCCAGGGCTGTTATTTCTTAATACACTTTATTTTTATCCTATACAGTGGAGTTAAATAAAGTACATTCTACCTTTGAACTGTTTTAGTATTAGGGACTTGATGACATTTCCGGCCTTATCAGAGTTTTACACTCTGCTGCATTTTCCTGTTTCTATGTAGTATGCTTTTATTTCAGCTCAAAGAACTTTTGGTATTTCTAGTAAGTCAGGCTGAGTAGAAATTAACTTCTTCAGTTTTTGCCTTTCTGGAAAATTTTTTCTTGTTATTTCTGAGGAAGAGGTTTTCTAGTTTAAGCATTGTTGGTGTGAAGATGTTTTCTTTTAATGTTTTGAATATATGATTTGACATTCTCCTAGCCTGCAAGGTTTCTTTAGAGAACTCTACTTATAGCCCTATGGGAGTGTTGTCCTGTATATGAGAGGTTTCTGCTCTTTTTGGTCTTTCAAAATTCTCTTTGCCTTTGATTTTTTAAAAAGATTTTATGTATTTATTTTTAGAGAGGAGAAGGGAGGGAGAAAAAGAAGGAGAGAAATATCAGTGTGTGGTTGCCTCTCAAGCGCCCTCTGCTGAGGACCTGGCCCGCAACCCCGGCATGTGCCCTAGTGGGAATTGAACTAGTGACCCTTTGGTTTGTAGGCCATTGCTCAATCCACTGAGCCATAGCAGCCAGGGCTGCATTTTATTTTTGACACTTTTTTATTATGACGTGTCTTCCTGAAGTCCTATTTGTTTGAATCTCTACAGGGACCTCTGGGGATTTTGAACATAGTTATTCATATTTCTTTTTCATTTTTAAAGTCAATCTTTAGCTCATTTTTTTAAAAATGAAATTTCATTTCTCACCTCCCCTTTTTTCTCTCTTTTTTATCTCTTCTGGGACTCCCCTAATTCACATATAGTTTATTTCTATGGTGTTCCATAATTCATCTCAGCTGCCTTCACTCCTTTTTATTTTAATTTATTTTTTATCGTTTTCGCTGATATGTGAGAGAAACAGCAATTGGTTGCCTCTTGCACATACCAACTAGGGACCTGACTTGCAACCAGGCATGCACCCTGATCAGGAAAGGAACTGGCGACCCCTCAGTTCACAGGCTGGCGCTACGCCACTGAGCCACACCACCAGGGCTACTTCTTTGTTAAAAATTTTTCTCTAACATGGATGATTTCATGTCACCTGCCTCTGAGGTGACATATGCATTTTATTCCTTGATCTTGTCTGCTTTTGAAACTCTATTTGCATTTTTCATTTTATTAATTGTATTCTTCAACTCTAGAATTTCTGTTTCATTCTTTTATGATTTCTGTCTCTCTGAACCCCATGTTTTGTTCCAGTATGTGTTTATTCATTATATTTGAATTCCATGTGTATTTGCTTGTACGTCAGTGAGGTTTTTAAAAAATATTATTTGCATTTTTGTATGTCAGTTCATATACCTCTATTTATTGGTAATTCAGTTCAAAATTGTGATGTTCCTTTTGTGATGTTTTTTCCTGCATATTCCTTTTTGCTTAGTGTGATATCTGAGCATTGAGTGAAACATCTTTTAAGACTTTATAGACCAAGTCTGTTAGAGAAGCAGTTTTTATTTTAAAAATATTATTCATTTTTTATTTGACAGAGGGTTAGGAAGGGAGAGAAACATCAGTGGGCCTCAGAAACATCAGTTGGTTGCATCTCACACTGCCCAGCGTATGGTCTTTCCTGCAATCTAGGCATGTGCAAAGAGCTGGATACCAGTGGGTAATATTTCTGTTCACAGGCTGATACTGAACTCACTGAGAACACTAGCCAGGGTGAAATGTAGTTTTATCTACCTGTGGATTCAAGGGTGCTTGGTAGGTGATGTGTTGTTTTGGGTGAAGACAAGTTTCATTTCCCATTACCCTGTTGGCCCATCAGCTGAGGTCAGAGTAGTAAAAGTTTTAGGAGTTGTCCATGGCCAGGGCAGCAGATGTCCAAATATTTAGCGATCTCCATTGGAGTCTTTGGTGGCAGAATTGCTGGGGAAATACTGGTGTTATTCTTTCATAAGTGATGTTGTGAGCAAGGGATTCCTCTTGATATCCATGCTGACAAACTCTACAGGTTCCTTTAAGGTGAAATCTGTGAAGAGTTTGCAGATATTACAGAGAATCCTGAAGTTCTCACTCACAAAGTTTACATTGGTCGCAAAATGACCGCTAAGGTTCACAGTAGCACATGCACAGTGGCTTGGAGAGGAAGCTCTCACCTTCTCTTTTGAATCTAAGCATCTTTGCTAACCCAGTCTCTCCTGCAATTCCTCTGTGCAGTTCTTTGTTTTATGCTTCACTTTTATGGCTTGTTAGAAAAACTGGTATCCTAAGCATTTGCCCTTTTCCACAGTAGATGCTTTTTGTCATGGATAATTGTCTACTTACTCTTGAAGGGGGTTGAATATTTCTATTTTTTATTCTGTCAACTTGCTGGCATCACTCACATAAATCTGTTTCCTTTGGTCCTTTGATGCTGAGTAGTTCTACTACAGTGCTGGTTATGCATCACTTCTGTTTTCTCTTAGGAGTTGCATCATCATTATTCCATGTAACTGCTCAGCTGGGGGGAAAGTGGAAGAGTCCTTTGTGTATCACAGGAGGAGCATGAGTCCAGCCATCACAGGATGGGCTCAAAGGCGTCTGGTGTTGGTGAATGGCAGTTGAGGAGAAATTGATTCTACGGCTTTGTTAAAACATAATGAGGAACCTATTCTGTTTAACTGTAGTTTGTCACCATTGTCAGTGACCACACTTTGATCATCTTGTCTGTTCCCAGTGTTGGCACATTGCCAGTTTGTTACTTTTAATAGTTGTCATTTCTACTCTGACTTCCAGCCATGGAAAATTTCTGCCTCTCTAACCTCTATACCCAACCATTTCTCTGAGGTATCTTTTTGGTGTGCTGTCCAGCTTTGGTTAATGACCGTTGCACCATGACGTGTGCACATGTCTCCGTACAAACTTTGCACAGCATGTGCTCTGCTGCCATTGATTTTCATGGTTTGGGGCACATGCACATTCCTTTACATGCCCTGACATCACCAGCAGGGAGGCTTTTGCTGGCAGCCATTAGCAGTGGAACAGCTTTTAAACCCTGCCTTTCTTCCTTGTGGCCTGTCCTATCGTAGTGTCCTACGTTTACTAAATTCCTCGTTATTTACTGACGTTACTGGCCTAGTAAGGCATTACAACCCTTTCTCAGCTTCTATCTTGCATGCCTTAAAAATTATCATATGGAATCATGACTATGACATGTGAAAATTTGTGATGAGACAACTCCCTCCCTATTGGCCACTAAGTATTTTATCAGCGTTTGTTTTTGTTCAGGTTGCTGCTGTGGAGGAGAGGACACGGAGGCACCCACTGAACAGAATGTTTCTGTAGGAGTCTCGAAGTCGAAGAATCCCAAGGCAGCTTTGTCTACCAAGAAGAGCCACCCCTGTGAGAGTTGTGGTTTGGTCTTGAGAGACATTTTCCTCTTGGTTGACCAGCAGGGAACCCAACACAGCTCGACGCTGCTGACGTGTGGGGCATGTGCAAAACAGTTTTATTTTAATGCACAGAGTCACCAACACCAGGAGCAGGACACGACACAGAATTGTTTCACAAGCAGTGTGGACAGGGTCTCACTTGGAAAGAGCTGCAATTTCCATGTGTCATGGGAGCCTTGCACCTCTAATCAGATTGGAAATCACTTCCCCCTCAGCTCAGGTCATCTTGAGCAACTGGCTACTCATACCATGCACAGGGCAAAGGAAATCTGTAAGTCCGGAATGACTTTTCAAAGTACAAAATATTATTACAACCCAGGAGAATGCAAGAAAGCAATTGGCTGTGATGACACACTTGTAGAGGACAAGAATGTCATTACAGGAGGACAGTGCTTTGTGTGTTGTGAATGTGGGAAATCTTTTATCAATATCTCTGACCTCCATGATCATCAGAGAGTTCACACTCCAGAAAGGCCTTATGAGTGCAGTGAATGCGGGAAATCTTATACCTGGAGCTCTGCCCTCCGTAGACATCAGAGAGATCACATTGGAGAAAGGCCTTATGAATGCGGTGAATGTGGGAAATCTTTTTCCATTAGCTCTGCTCTTCGTAATCATCAGAGAGTTCACAGTGGAGAAAGACCTTATGAGTGCAGTGAGTGTGGAAAATCTTATACCAGTAGCTCTGACCTCAATAGACATCAGAGAGTTCACACTGGAGAAAGGCCTTATGAGTGCAGTCAATGTGGAAAATCATTTACCAGGAGTTCTAACCTTCATAAGCATCACAGAGTTCACACTGGAGAAAGGCCTTATGAGTGCAGCGAATGTGGGAAATCTTATACCAGGAGCTCTGCCCTTCGTAACCATCACAGACTTCACACTGGAGAAAGGCCTTACGAGTGCAGCGAATGTGGGAAGTCTTTTACCATTAGCTCTGTTCTTCGTAATCATCAGAGAGTTCACACTGGAGAAAGGCCTTATGAGTGCAGTGAGTGTGGAAAATCTTTTACTTGGAGCTCTGCCCTTTTTAATCATCAGAGAGTTCACACTGGAGAAAGACCTTATGAGTGCAGTGAGTGTGGAAAATCATTTCCCAGTAGCTCTCTTCTTCGTTATCATCAGAGAGTTCATTCTGGAGAAAGGCCTTATGAGTGCAGTGAATGTGGGAAATCTTTTTCCAGTAACTTTGCCCTTCGCTGTCATCAGAGAGTTCACACTGGAGAAAAGCCTTATGAGTGCAGTGAATGTAAGAAATGTTTTAGACAAAGCTCTGCCCTGTTTCAACACTATCGAGTTCATTCTGGAGAAAAACCTGTTATGAGTGCGGTTCATGTGGAAAAACTTACATGAGTAGCTCTGCTTTTTTGTCATTGAAGAGTTCACACTGGATAAAGTGTTTTTAAGTGTAGCAAATGAGGTACATCTTCTACATGTAGCAGTTGCCTCTGTTAGTGTCAGAGAGTTCACACAAAAGAAAGGCCCAGTGTATGCAGTGAATGTGGGAAATGTTTTATCTGTAACATTAACCTTCAGTGTCATCAGTGAGTTCACCCAGGAGAATGGCCTTATAGTTGCCGTGATATGGGAAATTTTTTTAATCGTTAACCTTTTTTCTATGAAACTTCACTCTGGAGGAAGGCCTTATGAGTGTAGTGATTGTGGAAAATCCTTTATCCGTAGCACGTACCTCCATGTCATCAGGGAGTTCACACTGAGGAATGGCCTTATGTTCCAGTGAATGTGGGAAGTCTTTTTGTTGCATCAGTAATTTCTATTATTATGAAAGTGTTTACATCGTAGAAATGCCATTTGAATCCTTTGAATATGGGGAGTCTTTTACCAGTAGCCATGCCTTTGTTGTCATCAGAAAATTCACAAAGACTCAGTTCTTGTAAGTTAAGAAAATTTGGGAAATCTTGTATTTCTAAACATTTACTTTGTATTTTATCAGAGGTCACACAGCTGATAGGTTTTATATATACATGCAATATGAGAAATGTTTTTCTTACAGCGCCAAGCTCCATTATATTCAGAGATTTCACTCTAGGTAAAAGCCTTAAGAGTACAGTGAATGAGGGAAATTCTTTTTCTATCATTTTTCCTTTCTTATTATCAGAGAGTTTACACAGGGTTGGGCCTTATGGGGACATCAAATGTGGGAAACCTTTACCTCATGGTCATGGCCACCTTAATCACAATTCACACTGGTTAAAGGCTTCAAGTATGAAGTGAACGTAGGAAATACTTAGCCATAAGTCTGTACCCTTTTGACATTGGAGAGTTCTCACTGTGTAAATGGTTAGATTTTAGGAAGTGTATTATTTTTTTCTGTGTAATGACATAGAAGAAAACTTTCTGAGGAAACATCTACATTTAATTTTGTATATTCACAGTGCAGACATGTCTCAGAAGCTTAATGTTTAAATTTTGAAGAACCTAACAAAGTATGACCTAAACTAATTGTGCCTTTATGCATTTTTAACTCATAGTGTTTGAGGGTTTCATCCCCACTCTAACAGAATTGTGACCTGTTTAATTTTTAGGAATTTTAGCTTTTATATGTTCATCATGCCCTCCATGTTGTTTTAGTTGCATTTCTCTAAGCATTTATGATGAGCATTTTTGCAGATGTGTATATACTACTGATATGTTTTTAGTAAATTGTGGGCTGACATATGTACCTATTTTTTTTTAAATTAATTTGGGCTACACTCCTTTAACAAATAGGGTAGCGAAACAGCAAAGATATGTTGCAATGCCACACATTTTCACTCCTTATATAACAAGTAATTTTCGCTTTATGGAATAATTTTTTTTAATGGCAAATAATTGTTTCAATAATGTAAAATAATTCCAAATTATATGGATTTTTTTGGTGTACAAAATGTAGTAGGTACATATCATATACTTTAAAGAATAATCTACATTATTAACTCACTTCATAACTTCTGTAAGTTCAAACTTTTAGTAATATAATAAAAAGACTTGATTTTTAGTGTTCACCCATTTTTATGGTCTATCATCTGGGATTTGCTGGGCTGCAGGAAGTCTTCAAGGTGAAGAGGGTGGTAAGAGGATGAATGGGTATTAGTTGGTCCTCAAAACCCTCCTGGAAGCCAAAGAGAAGAGATCAGTGATTAAGACTCCCCAGACCTTGGGCCATGCAAACTGGTTTTAAGTATTAAATTCTTTCTTTAATAATCAGATATTTTTTAAGTATATTTTATTGATTATGCTATTACAGTTGTCCCATTCTTTTCTCCCTTTTTCCTCCTCCTCTCTACCCCACCTTCCCTCCAGCATTCCCGCCATCCCTTAGTTATGTCCATGGGTCATACATACAGGTTCTTTGGCTTCTCCATTTCCTATACTATTCTTAACCTCCCTCTGTCTACTTTGTACCCACCAATATGTTTCTTATTCTCTGTACCTTTTCCCCCCTTCTTCCCCTCTGCCTCCCTGCTGATAACCCTCCATGTGATATACATTTCTACAACTCTGTTCCTGTTCTAGTTGTTTGCTTTGTTTGTTTTTGTTTTGTTTGTTTTTTTAGGTTCAGTTGTTGATGGTTGTGAGTTTATTGTAATTTTACTGTTCATAGTTTTGATCTTTTTCTTCAGTAAGTCCCTTTAACATTTCATATAATAAGGGCTTGGTGATGATGGACTCCTTTAACTTTACCTTATCTGGGAAGTACTTTATCTGCCCTTCCATTTTAAATGATTGCTGAATAGAGTAATCTTCGACATAAGTCCTTGCCTTTCACAACTTTGAATACTTCTTTCCAGCCCCTTCTTACCTATAAGGTTTCTTTTAGAAACCTTTCTTGAAAAATCAGCTGATAGTCTTTTTTTTTTTTTAATAAAGATTTTATTTATTTATAGATGGAGAGGAAGGGAGGGAGAAAGAGAGGGAGAGAACATCAATGTGTGGTTGCCTCTTGTGCACCCTGGCCTTCAACTCAGGCGCGTGCCAGTGACCCCTTGGTTTACAGGCCAGCACTCGATCTACTGACCCACACCAGCCAGGGTTCAGCTGATAGTCTTATGGAAACTCCTTTGTAGGTAATTCTCTCCTTTTGCTGCTTTTAAGATTCTCTTTTTATCTTTAATCTTGAGTAATTTAATTATGTTTTGTTCTGGTGTGTTCATCCTTGGGTCCAACCTCTTTGGGACTCCTAGCTTCCTGGACTTGTATGTCTATTTCCTTCACCAGATTGGGGAAGTCTTCCATCAGTTTTTCAAAAGATTTTTCAATTTCCTGCTCTTCCTATTCTTCTGGCACCCCTATGATTCGGATGTTGGAACATTTAAAGTTGTCCCAGAGGTTCCTAAGCTTCTCATTTTTTTGAATTCTTGTTTCTTCATTCTGTTCTGGTTGAATGTTCATTTCTTCCTTCTGCTCCCAAGTGTTGAGTTGAGACCCGGTTTCCTTCCCTTCACTGTTGGTTCCCTGTATATTTTTCTTTATTTCACTTTGTATAGCCTTCACTATTTATTTTGTGGCCATACTCAGTCATTTCTCTGAGTATCCTGATTACCAGTGTTTTGTACTCTGCATCTGGTAGGTTGGCTATCTCCTTGTCACTGAGTTCTTTTTCTGGGGTTTTGATCTGTTCTTTCATTTGAGCCATATTTCCTTGTTTCAGTGCACCTATTACGTTGTAAGGGGCAGAGCCTTAGGTGTTCACCAGGGCGGGGCAGCCCACTTCGCAATGTTCTGCTGTGTGTGGGGAAGGGGTCAGAGAGGGAACAATGCTGCTTGCTCAGGTCTTGAGCCACTTTCTATCACTTCCCCCACTACCCAAAAACAAATTGCGCCCTTATGGTTTTGATTCCCAGTTTGGTGGCCTTGTGTATGTTCTAGGACTCCATGGACCCCTTCAACAGACTCTCCAGTGAAACTGGCAGTTTCTTCCATAACTGCAACCCCCACAGGTTTTTACAGTCAGAGGTTTTCAGGCTTTCTTTTCCTGCACTGGAAACGTGGATTGTGTGGTCTGTCTCCATCCCCAATTGTTCCAGTTTATTAAAACACTAGTGTGGGACCACCTGGTCTACCAGATGCTGCTTTGCCTGCCCAGTCAGCTAGCCACTGCCTTGCCTCCTGTTCTCTCCAACCTGGCTGACTGTCTTTGTCCCTCCTATAAGCCTTGATGAATGTTTCTTCTTTAAGTCTTTGGTTGTCGCACTGCCATAGAGTTTGATTTTCTGTAGTTCTGATTGTTTTTTGTTTTTAAATGGGTTGTTATTCCTTTGGTTGTGTGAGGAAGCGAAGCATACCTACCTATGCCTCCATCTTGGCCAGAAGCCCTAAATGTTAGATTCTTGATCATCATTATGATTACAGGAAAGAGATGCTCTCTATGAACCTCAGCTTCCTCCTTTGTAAAATACTGGTAAAGAGCATCTTTGATCCTAGTCTTGGTGCTTATTCCAAAAGCAGTGACTATACCACCAGTTATCCCCTGTGGGTGCCATACAGAGGCCACATGTCTGGTACCTTCTGCCCTGGGTGCTTTTGAAAAATAAAAGGAGCTTCCCAGATCCCCCATACCTGAGCAGTCTACACAGACCTCACCAGAGGAAAATGTGGCTTCTGATCTAGGTCTCTGTATGGATTCCTCGGTGGCCCATCTCTGGGTGACAATAAAACTGCCCCAAACTCACTTCATTACATGAAATTAATGAAGGCACTAACCATAGCGCTTTTGAGAATCAATAGAGGTGACAAAATTCAGCAAATACTTCCAGGTACTTGTATTACAGGATTTGCTTTTTGGTTATTTTCTTTTTAACTCAACTGCATCCTATGGGTTAACAACTGTTACTGTATTTCTTGGGAAATGGGGGATCAGGAAGAGGAAGGGATTTTCCAATGTCACAGCAGGCAAATGTCAGATCGAAAAGGCTGAATTCAGACTCAAGTCTGGCGGCAGAGATGGGATCTTTCTCTATTGTGGCATATTAAGGCCTCAGTGCAAGGCAGGGAGACAGCAAAGGCCAGTGAAATGGGAATCAGCTATTGCTACTGTTTTCATTTTTGCAATTATCATGAATCTTCTACTTTTTTCCTGATGTCTTAGAGGGTTTAACATTGCCTCACAGTCTTCATGGGAATATTACGTACAATTTCCAGTGGTTTCTCCAGGGGAAACTACAGTGAGACTTAGCTGTATTTTGTATATTGCCTTTTGAGTTTAACACACAGCTTGGCACTAAGGCCACTGGGTATTCAGGGTTAGGTCTTCGCGCATGTTTACATATCTTTTGCATGACAGGCTTTGATTTTATCCACTGTGGTGAATGTGGTGCCTCAGTTTGACCCTTCAAGTGTTTTCATTGCATGTCTCTTACATGCACTCTGCAGTATTGAGAACAGCA